GTCTAGACAAAATGACCTAAACTCCGGGGGTCTAGAATAAATGACCTAAACCCTGGGGTCTAGTTTAAGTTTTCTCTAAAAAAAATGCATCAGCGGTCCGGAGATCTTGTGATCAATTATCATTATTGTTATATTATCAAGTGACCAAATAAAATAATAAAATGAATTATAAAATTATAAACCAGTTCTGGAAGTCCGTAGTGATTAATAAAAAGTTGAATGGACAAGCCAGTAACAGAATCGTTTGCAGATCCTAGAAACTCAAGGTTTTATTCTTTAACCAATTTATTATTTTCTTTAAATTACTTGTTTCTAATTAACTTTTAATTATTTTTTTTAGAAGAGATCGTTTAGATCGTGATCAAAGAGGTGAAAGATACCTCTCGTCTAGAGAAAGGTATGCAGTAAATCTGCATTAAAAATATTTCATTTGCAAATTTAGTTAACTAATATTTGAAAGATTGAAAGTATTGAGCATATACAATTCCTAACATAAATAGAATTCACATAACTTTCAGAGATGAAAGGCCACCTCCTGTTTTATCAAGAGGCGGTCATTATAATCAAAGGCCTAGAATTTCAATGGACTATGATGATTTGGAAAGATCTCAACCAAGTGGTTCATCATTCGTTGATCGAAGGAATTTAAGACGTATGGGAGCTTCTGATGGGGGACCTTCTTCAGAGTTAGAATATTCACATGAGGTAGGTATTTTCAAATATAAAATTTATTTTATTGTTATATTTCTATACTTAGAACTTTTACAATATTTAATGTGGCTTTCCTCTAAACTTGCAATAAAGATTCACATTACATTACATAATTATATTATTATATATATATATATTGTGAATTAAATCAAAAGTATGAAGACCGCCATATGTATCGAAGCAGAGATAATAGATATCGTTCTCATGATGATTCATCAAGATCTGATCCTCGATATCCAACAAATTCTGCAAGTTATGGATATGATGAACGAATGTATTCTAATAGAGATCAAGATCGTTATTCAGCAAGGAATATTTACCCAAATGATCGAGACCGAGATAGGTCATGGCCAAGGCGAGAGCGTAGACCAAGTAGGGAACGTCATTATGAACGAGAAAATGAAAGAGAGAGATTAAGTCGTGATTATTCTCAACATCGTAATAATAATGTTCCACCACCCTATTTTGATCGAGATGGTCAACATGATCCAACCAATTCTCGAGATTTTCCATTTAGAAGAAGACCATATTTTCGAGAAGGCGAACTTGAATTAGATAGAATAAATCCTCCTCGATTTAGTGTTCAAATCCCTACAAATATTCGAAGGGAATATAATAATAGATCTACTTCACCAACTAGGTCATCAATTACAAGTTCATCATCATCACTATCAAAACATCAATCTATTTCACCGAAACTGAAATCTTTATCAGGGAATTCTGAAGAAATTTCTCCACATCATGTCGAACAGGAAATTAATCAAAATTCTCAAAATTCGAGTATTCAACATTCTGATAGAATTGAAGAAAATGAGAATTTCAATTATCCTAAAGAGCAGAAACGTGAAAAAAATAAAGAAATATTGGACCCATCTTCATTATCACCCATTGATACAATTACAACCTCCCAAAATGAAGGTGAAGAACGAAAGACTAATGAAAATGAAGGCGAAGAACGAAGGACAAGTGAAAATGAAAATGAAGGTGATGAACAAAGGATAAATGAAAATGAAGGTGAAGAACGAAGGACAAATGGAAATGAAAATGAGAAAGGAGGTTGGTCAGGTTGGCGTAGCATTGACCAAGGTGAACCTGATTTGGTTGAAGGAGATATATCATTACAAGGTGAAGGTGAAGGTGAAGCCAATGTAACAGAAGTTAATGATGATAATGAACTGCCTGAATCGAAAATAGATTTGATTGCAGTAGAAACAACGCCACCATCAAAGCTAGATGAAACAGATTTAATTTCGGTTAAATTAAATGAACCAAAATCAAAAGATGAGTTGTCTCCCACAATAGATTATAATACTAATTCTAATTTAAATACAATTGAAAGTCATCAAGAACATTCTATAAATGATATGGAAATATCTAGTATGCCAACAAATGAGGATATCAAAAATTTAAATGAAGATTTAACAATTAATACTCCGAATACATCCCCCAAAGAATTGGAACTGCCAATTGTCTCATGCAATTCAAATTCACAACGAACGGAGCTTATTAATGCGCTTGGTAGAGAAATAGAACAAATAGAAGAAGACCTTGATAAATGGAATCATATATATAATAAAAAGAAAGAAAAGATTACTAAAAGAGTTGAAAAAGAAAGAGAAGAAAGAGAAAAGTGTAAAAAAGAAAAAGAAAATCTTAAAGAAAAATGTAAAGAAGAACAACGAGTAAAACGTGCAGCGGAAGATAGAGCATTGTGTGTAAATCAAGATGAAAATGAAAATAAAGAAATCAAAGTTCAAATCCAAAAGAAACGTAGAAAATCGAAAAAAAAACATGTCTTCAGAAATAATAAACGTCGTGCATTAGATCAAAAATCAACGAAGAAAATTGCCGAAGGTATAAGCAATATCAATGATACAGAGGAATCAAATATTCATTCAAAACGGTTGGAAGTAAAAACAAATGAAGAAGAAATCAAGAAGATATATAAGGATTTATTTGATGGGGTGGGACTTGTTGAAAGTAGACCGGCTCTAATTAAGAGTTTTAATTTAAAGAAGAAGGAAGAAGATTGTAAAATTGAAGAATTGAAAAAAACAAAGAGAAAATCTAAGAAATAAATGGAATGTAAGTCATAAGACGAATAATAATAATGAAGAGAAACTAAAAAAGGATAGATATAGTCGAAATCAAGGTACCAGAAAAAGTGGCAGGTTTTCAAAAAACGATTATGTCAATAGTGAAGCTGCTGTTGAAGAAATTGCTAAACAAATTTTAAAGGAAGCCGAACAAGAACGACGAGCCGCTCCCGTACCCCCAATGATAATCGGAGAAAAAAATCGACATTATGCTAAATTTATCAATAACAATAATATTGTTAGAGATCCAGTCAGTTTTTATGGTTTTAATAAAGATCCCGGAGAAAAATGGACACCTGAAGAACATGTTGTTTTCATGAGACAATTTAAATTTACTCCAAAGAGGTTTGAAGAAATAGCAAAACATTTAGAACAAAAGAATAGAAATGATTGTCATAATTATTATTATTATTTAAAAAGTAAGAAAATTGAAATTTACAAAGAATTAAAAAAGGCATATTCTTTAAACAAAAATGGTAGTAAAGTTAAAGAAGAATTTGGAAAATCAACTAATAATCGTAATACAGTGGTTAAACAATCCCCAAAGAAAAGGAAGGCACCATTGATAGCGACAGAAAGCGATCATCAACAAAGAACAGATAATAATTTACCTGAACGACGAAACAATATGAGAGAAAATTCAGTTGGTAATAATTGTGTTGAAATTTATAATAAAGAAGATGATTTAACGGAGAATGACCAAAATCAATTAGTTACTGAAGAAATTATCAATAAAATTGAAATTGAAGAACAAGCAGATGATGATTATTCACTTAAATCACAATCAACTTCTATACCTTTAATATCAAGCATAGCAACAATGGATCCACCGCTGCCTACAAATAACCAAAATTTTCAACAAAATATTACAGATGTCGAGGATGCTGCACATGCTCTTACATTATTAGCACAACTACCTATAACAGAAAATACGCAAAAATCTATGCAAAAGGGGGGAAAAAACAAGTCAAAACAATATGATCATCCTACACGAGCACGAAATTTATCGATAGAAGAGAATGTTCCTACGAAGAAGAAAATTACATCATCGTATTGGAACAAATCGGATGTGGAGAAATTTAACAATTCATTAAATCAATATGGTACAAATTTCAAGAAAATTTCTGAAATTCTTGAAACCAAGTCAGAAACTCAAGTAAAGAATTATTATGAAAAACATATTGCTTCGGGTGTAATTCCAAAAACGGTTGAATCTCGATCTGAAACTCTAGCACATTTAGAAACTTCACCTTCTATCTCTACCACTCACACCCCACAACCAGTTGTACAGACTTCTTCAGATATTAATACAGAGCAACAAACTTTTAATAATAATGGAAATTATTTTAATAATAACCGAAGTGACACACAACCGCAAGTTGAACCACCACATAAATCAGTGACTTCTCCATCCATAAATTATAATCGATCAAGTTCTCCACAATCATCAGTAAAAAGTGCCATATCACATTTATTGAACCCATCAACAGACGACAATATATCTCATGATTGGTTCAATGGAGATCAATCTTCAGACAATCCAATGGTTATTGATGTAGACGCAGAAGAATCGAGACCTCCTGAAATAATGTCATCAGTAGTTAATCAACCTACTCCTATTCAGTTTATACCCGTTACTCAATCTACTCAACCTAATCAATCTCTTAATCGTTCACAAATTATTATGATACCACATCAACAGCAACATCAACATCAACATCAACACCAGCAACAACAGCAGATACAACAAACACATCAGCAACAGCAACAAATGCAACAATCACATCATCAACAACAAATTCAACTTCATATCCAACAACAACAACAACAACAACAACAACAACTACTTCATCAACAACAACAGAGGGTTCGAAATCAAGAGAGCCATATTCCAAAGTATTTCATGCCAACTATTTCGAATTCTCAACAGTCACAAAATATACCACAACATCGACAGGGTTGGGTAGAACAAAATCAATTTCGACAATCAAATTCCCTTCCCCAAGCGTATTATTCATCAAATACTCCACCACCTCCGCCACCACATCATTCTGTTCAACCACAAGGACCTAATAACATGGCACCCAATAATATAAATACTAATAGTTTGGCACCTAGTAATCTATCGCCTAATAGTATGTCACCTACCACACCAGCATCAATGTATCTTCCTCCCACCAATCCAATTTATCCGTATCAGTATAGTAGTTTAATTGTTCCGGACTCATCATCACAAAATAGATCATCTGGACAACTTGTAACTGGTTCAAATACTGTAAATCAACATTCTCCTGGTAGAGGTACTTATCCTACCACCTCAACATATCTTCCCAGAGGTGGAGCACCAGTATTTGAGAATTACAATAATGTATCTCCCAATGTACCAAGTATTATTACTTCACCCACACCACCGCCACTTGACAATGTACAAATTCGACAATCCAATTATGTTGTGCCACAGCATCAAGTGGATCGTAATCGCAATTCTGGGCCACCACCCTAAAAAAAAACAAAACAAAAAAAAATATTTGATTGTCATTTTATTTATTTTATTTATTTATTTTTATTATTTAATTTTTTTTTTTTTGGAAATAGTTGTAATAAATATATTAATATTATTATGATTTTTTTCGGAGTTTATAAATTTTTATAAATTTATATAAGTTATATAAAATGGTATAAAACCTGTGCATGTGAAAATTCATTGAAATCCTTTATTATTATTAAAGTATTGAAATGATTTAATTATTTTAATCTTACGAATTATTTATCGATTGGAGGAATTCTTTTCCATTATTTTTATTATTTTATATTATTTATCAAATTTTGAAATGTAAGTTAATGTTAATTATTACAGTAACTTGTTAATATTTATATAATACGAAGTCAACTGGTTTGAATTTTATAGCAATACATATAAATTTTAATAAAATTCTAACGATATTTATCTGGTTCGATACATACGGAGGAATTTGTCTCGAATTAGCAAGAAATCCAATTAAATCGGATCCAGTGAGAAGTTATCGAGAGGAAATGTATCATGATAAATTTTTTCAATACATTGATAAAAAGGAATTTTTTGTTTGTAAGTTCGAGGTGGGATATCTGCTGTTCTTGGTCTACCTGAAGTACAAAAGTCCCAAGCCTACAGTTTAAATTCTCTAGAATAACAAGAACATTGAAATGCCACTTGCCATTTAGGAAATATAGCTTACTTTGCACGCGTGTAGGTCTACTGGATCAATTTTGATAACTATTGTGAATGCGACTAAGATTAGATAACCAATACTCTTTCACCTTGTCCAGTAGTACATGTTGGCTTTATAATTGACCCATTCCCATAGACCACGGATAATTAAATTCGTCTGTTCAACATTCACACTCCTCTAATGTAACTCCTTTAGAGATCACGTATGGAAGTTTTGATTTAATTAGTGAAAATTAGTTTTTACGAGTTAGTACCTCTAATATTTTTCAATAAAGCTGGCACATGTAAAACGTAACAAATCTAAAAACAATGACAGACGCCAATGAAGCGAATTTATTTCGTATATCTTGCATGCATCAATCGCCATTGTTCGGAGAATTACCAATGAAGAAAAAATTTGTTTCACTACAAAGAGATGTTTCTGATGAAGAAGCGTCAGGTATGCAGTAAAGGGAAAGGAAGATTTCATGTGCATCGCGGAGGGGAAACCTCGTAACATCAAGATTGGTTATTTACAGGTTCTCGTTTTGGTATAACTTTTCTGGGAATGGTATTTACTTTCTTTTCATTAATGTGTCAAAAAGACACTGAGCTCTGCTCATCACATGATTTGTATTTGTCCTTACAGGTTATTACATTTGAATAAGATAATGCATCGTCTAATCTTTATCACTTGGAATAAAAAATCTAATTTCTTCTTTTTCTTTAAAATTTATTTCCATTACCTTCAATTTCATTTTCTTCCTCAATTTCAGAATCAAATTCGTTAAAATTTGTAGTTTCTTCAATATTATTAAAATTCATTATATTTTTCAGAAATTTTTTTTGTTTCGTTATTATGTAATCATATAATTTGTTATTTTTATTTATATTATGAATAGTTCTAACTCAGTGTTGACAAATTTGTATGTCCCCGGCTTTTTTTTTGACTGTCCCATGTCCCATGTCCCACTGTCCCTACCCTTAACCAACCCATTAAAACTTTATAGATATATATAAAAATCAATTTCAAACAATTTTAATTAATAGCCCAAAGCAGATTTTCAAGTAAACTTTTGTGCATTTACATTTTAAAAAAATAAATTTTGTCCTTGACAAATACTGGTTCTAACTATACATGTCGGTTTGATTCAATTATTTACGTATTAAAAATGTTACAGGGTAAATTTATCCTCACACAATTATATATATCACGTGAGAATTACTTTAAAAATATATTTATATAGGGGTAGATAAGTGTATTATATTATATATTAGTTCAAAAAATGACCCAAGTATCATCCGTTCTCACGAACACATTAAATCCTCCAAATTCCGCTACTTTAACCATCCGATTAATAAAAAATTTCGAATATCGTACTGTCAAATATTTAATCTTACATGAAGTTAATTTAGAAGCTACGACTGTGGAAGAATTGAAAAATATTATTAAAGAAAGTTCTGTTTTTTTTTTTTAACTCTATATTGTGATGATTATTATGATAATTATTATATTGATTATAATTATCTTAAATTATTTATATAAATATAGAAATAAATACTATTGCGGGATTTAAACCTTTTCGTAATGTGAATTATGGTAAATAAAGTTTATTAAATATTTCAAACATTTTAAATACTTCTCACTTACACTTATATATCTTCTCTTTATGTATTTCCCCTCCTTTACAAGATACATTAAAACTTTATACAAAAGCTCATGGAGCAAAAGTAAATAATTTAAAAATTTAGTTAATTATTATCATATATATATATGCACATATATATAATTCAAATGATATTCGCTTCTTTATAATTTTTGTTATTCAAGGCTCAAAATTTAACAATAAACCTTGATCATGATGAATGGATTTTTGAAAATGATGAAACAACTTTAATTTCACATAAATTAGGTTTGTATTATTTATTATATTTATATTCATTATAATTATTATATTATAATTAATATATTTCATTATATTTTTTAGAGAATGAATCCGAACTTTCATTCTTCAATAGAGAAGCTTATGAGGCATATAAATTACATCCTGAAATCAAATGGGAAACTAATAAATGAAATAAAATAAAATAATATCACTTTCACAATAATCGCTGAACCATATTATTATTATTATTTTTTTTTTTGAAAAATTGCACTTTATTATTACAAAAAGACAGTAGTATATATATTATTACAAGATACTTTTTTTTTGATTTAAAATCCTTAATTAAAGAAACATTCAAATAATGTATGATAATATGATGATAATGTAATGAAATAAATATAATATGAAACTATTTACAAAAGAAAATTAGGTAAAGAAAGAAAGAAAAAAAATAATAAGATTAATAGTAAAAATTACAAAAAAAAATAATCCCTCCAGAAAGAAAATAAAGTATTAATAAAACAAAATACAAATATAAATAAAAATAAAAAGAAAAATAAAAATAGAAAGAAATAAAATAAAAATAATAAAATGAATATTAAAGACATTTGAGGATATTTACAAATATTAAAAATATTGATTATTTATTATATATAAAAATTATATTAAAAGATGAGAATATCCCCAAATGACTAACATCATCGCAACCATCATAACTGGTAATGGTACTTTAGCTTCCATAACGGATTGCATAAGTGCAAGTTGATGATTTCGTTTTGAACTCTTGGCTGATCTAAACAATGGAAATGCCGAAGAAGTTCTTAAAGCAGCTGAACTAGGACTACTATTTCCTCTACTTGAGGAAGTAGAATTGGAAGTTGCTAAAATTAAGGGTTTTAAATCAATACTAGGTTTTCTCAAATTTTTTCTATCTGGTATACATCTCGCTATTTCGTAGGCCAACCTTCCTGAAGTTTCTTCTCGTAATATAGTATAATGGTTACCAGATACGGGTCGATGAAAGATAATTTCTCCTTGATATTTTTCCCATCCAAAATTTGGTTCATTAAATGATGGATGATCAAGTAATAATTTACTGGTTTTTTTGTTATAATCTTTAGCACGCCAGTAATGAATAGGAAACGATTGAATAGCTTCGGGTCGTGTAATATCATAAGTATAATTATACATTGAAGCGGTTAAAATTCCTATTTGACGTTTAAATGACTCCAATTTTACTGGATCTTGGCTTTGTTGTCGATGCATCCATTGACTATCTGCATCAGTTAATAATTGATTAATATCTGATTCCCATATTTTGTGTGGACGATCTTGTGCATTTATTGTTGGTCGAACTTTAACTTTTAATGGTGAAGGTGCATCAATTAAATAAAGTCCTCCAACTTTTGCTCCTAAACTTTCTAATTGTCTAGCCATTTCCCATGCTATAAGTCCACCATAGGAATATCCACATAAATAATATGGTCCAACTTCTTTATTATCTTGTAGTAATTTGATATAACGTCGAGCTATCACCGAGATATCATTTTCAACATCACTTGGTGCTTGAATTCCATATACTGGGCGTGTAAGTCCTAAATGTCTTGAAATATGGAAATAACTTGCTACATTACCTAATAATGGATGTATACAGTATAGAGCTGAATTACTTTTATTTATAATACTTCTTGGGGCAAGAGGTATTAAAGCTGGTGTCTCGTTGGATTTTTCTTCATTAGAACTTATGGTTTCTTTTGATTGATTGGTGATAATTTTGGTCTTTTTATCTTCCAATAATTTTTTATGTACATGATCTGCTAAAGTTCCAATGGTATGTACCTCGAATAATAAAGTTGGGGCAATTTCAATTTCAAAACTTGTTGTCATTGAAGCAGTTAACTGCACAGCAGCTAATGAATCAAATCCATAGTCAGAAATAAGATTTGCATTAAGATTAAGTTCATTCAATTGTAACTTGGATGCTAATTTGGAGATTGAATGAACATGCTTAGAGATGATTTCTCGGATTTCTTTAATGGGCATCACTTCAATTACTTCCTCGATTTTTTCTGATACGTTAGATTTGAGTTGTTTATGAATATGTTGTGCTAGGTCGGAAATTGTGTACAGTTCCAGCATTATGGCGGGTGCAAGTTCAATACCAAATTCATCCTTGAGGCATGCAACTAATTGTACAGCTCCAAGTGAATCAAATCCATAAACTGTAATAAGATTCGCTTTAACATCAACCTCATCAATTGGTAATTTTGCAGCCAATTTTGAAACTTGTCGAACATATTCACTAATTTTTTGTTCAATTGTAATGATATCCATTACATTTTGTGTCGATTGTTCTGATGAGCTTGCAAATGCCGGATCTTCGGTTAATTCACCAACACTAACAATAATCTTTTTATCTAATGCTCCAGTTAACAACATTTCTTTGGATTTAAACCGTTGGAGTTTTCCACTCGTTGTTTTGGGTATACAACGTTGTTTAAGGATTACAATTCTTTGTACAGGTAAACTGTGCTTTGCGGGAACAACTCGAGTTATTTCGTCAATGATTTGACTTAGGGATTCGGATTTTATACTTTTCTCGTTTCTGATTTCGACTAAAATGATTAAAGTATCGGTACCGGTCTCGTGATCCTGATGATGGAGTGCTGCTACACATCCGGGTCGAATTTCATTATGACATTCTTGTACTGAGAGTTCGATATCTTGAGGATAATGATTCTTGCCATTAATAATGATAACATCTTTTTCCTAATTACATTTTTTATAAATTGTTAACAATTATTAATTATTTTGTAATTGTTGATAGTTGTAACGTATAAGAATTTAAAAATTTCGGATACTTACTCGTCCGGTGACGTATAATTCACCATTATGTAAGAAACCTAGATCCCCGGTTTTTAAGAAACTTCCATGATCGTTTATCCAATTACCGTGATCACTTAATGCCAATTTTGCTTTAAATGTTTCCTCGGAATCTTTTTCTTTGCCATAATATCCTTGTCCCACCGATGGGCTTGAAACCCATATTTCACCTACAACATTGGGTGAACAAAGTTGTCTTGTATCGCGGTCGACTATTCTTACTTCAATTTCCATGCTTAATTCAGGTACGCCAGTTGAGACGATATAACTAGCGTTGGAATTTTCAGTTTCTTGTCTAATACGAACATGTCCTTTTCTTAATATGACAGGATCGACATTAATTACTGAAGGTATTTCATTAAGATTACGAAAACCTAAAGTGTAAGTACAATGTTCAGCTAGACCATAAAGACACTTGAACATTTCAAGTTTAAATCCTGCCATATTAAATTTCTTCGCAAAAGATTTTAAGGTAGACCATCGAACTGGTTCTGCACCATTGAAAGCACCTTGTAGTGAACTAAGATCCAATGAAGAGATGATATCTTCTGGACATTTTCTTGCCGCTAATTCGTAGGCAAAGTTTGGGGCTGCTGTATAAGTGGCCTTATATTTAGTTATCATTTGAAGCCAACTTTCGGGTTTTTGCAAGAAGGTTAAGGGTGACATCACACATGATGAACAAGCTCCTCTTACGGTATTAAGGAAACCACCAATTAATCCAAGGTCATGGAATTGTGGTACCCAAAATGCAATTACTGAGTCATTATTCAGACCGATTTCGCGTTGCATTAAATCCACATTATGTAGTAAATTCTTATGGCTTAGCATAACACCTTTTGGATCTCCCGTACTTCCAGATGAGAATTGCAATACTGCACAATTTTCACAATCTACTTCGTCAATTAAATTTTCATCGAATAAGTCGCGCGAATTAACAACTTTTTCGTATTCAACCCAAGTTAATCCTTCAGGCCAATCAATCTTAGCACCAAGTCCAATAAAACTTTTTGCTGCATATAGTTTGGTGAATAACATATAATTTTTGTCAGAGAATACTAATTTTGCACCGGTGATATTGGATAGATACTTAAATTTTGCAATGTCCTTTTCTGCAGTTGCAAGATTTGGTGGTGCAATCGGTACAGCAATGACTCCAGCCAACATACATCCGAAAAGTATGGGTAAAAATTTAAGACCGGGAGCGTAACAAAGTAAAACGGGATCTCCAATTTTATGATTTGAAGTTCTTAGGTACTGGGCGACGGAACGAGCTTGACGGTATAAGTCTGCGTAATTCATTTTAAATTCTTCTTTTAAATTTACATCCACCCAAGTGAATGCTACTTTTTCAGGAAATTGTTTTGCGGCTGATCTTAATACTGAACCCCAATTTGTTGTGGAAGGAGGTATAATGTCATATTTTGCACGAATTGGTAAATGTTGGATTTCTTGTTGAGAAGCTCTTGATAGATTAAAGAAGCGTTTGACGAGATCTTTGCTATATGTCACACAGTTTTCTGTAAGTTCAAAGTCAAGCCAGCCACCTACGTAAAAAGTTCCATCTTGACCTTGCATGTTTTCTATTTTGCTATAAAATCCTCGGGCCATACTGAGCGATGAGACTATAATATAAAATTAAAACGTGTTATTTGTAAGAAATTTTTTTAAATATTATAATATTATAAAAAAAAATAGATATATATATATACATACCATGAGGAAAGAAATCCCAACGTTGATTATAATGAATTTCTTTGAGGTTACCACCCATATGTATTAAATCTTCTTTAAATAATTCTGTCACGCGTTCTTGGTTTATTTCTTTATTTCCATACATGTAAAACAAATATGTTGGAACACCTTCATGAGCACAGTAAAAAGCTGTAGTATGACCTACATATTTTTTATCTGAACAATGTTTAGGTATGGTGGTCATGCCAACTTTTGTAGATAAACCTTCCACGGTGGCAATTATCGTGTAAAAATCGAAAGTGATAATTTCTGAGAATAATGAGGATTCTAGTGGTGTTACATCAAGGAATTGTGCAGTTTGTCGAGGTGTTGTGGCTATTATTATTTGATCAAAAGCCAAGGTTTGTTCGAAATTGGTGAGAGAATTTTTGACATTTACAAGGTTTGGACCAAGATTTTGACGTTTTAATGAACGATCGATACTTGTTACTTTTGAATTTAATAATACATTAAGATTCTAAATATATAAATGAATAATTGTTAATATAATGATAATGCGAAAAAAAAAACCGAATTTTACAAATTTGGTAATTAGTAAAAATGATTGACACATACCTGACTCATCTTGGACCAGAAATTTTCGAATCCGTCTTTAAAATACGAAATCGTATTTTCGGAATTTAAAATGAATTTTAAAAAGTAGGCAGCTGGAATATCATCTTGTATGTAACCATAACCAGCAGAGGTATATGCTAAATTCCATACATCTTTTAAATAGTCCATTTTTTTGTCTTTTAAATATTGTGATATGGGTGCATATAGCATATTTTCAGAGAGGTCACCATGGCCTGGCAATGTAACATTTTCGAAAGATTTCTTTTCTTCTAGATAACAGGACATATTATCTAAAAAAGATTTTGTTATTATTCCAATTTGGTTGACATCGTCAGTTATTAATTTGTTTGAATCGAAATCTAACGCCCGACCGGTAAATTTGTCAAGGGGACAATTTAATTCATCAGCTAATGACTTAATGTTAGCATAATTATTTCCAATCATTAATGCACCAACATCATATTTTCGGTTTTGATGTATGAAAGTAGAACTTTTGCCAGCGATATGAGAATTGGACTCTATTAAAGTAATATTTGAATAGCCCTCTTTTCGTAGAAAGTGAGCAATAGATATACCCGCAGGCCCGGCACCTATTATGCCGATACGAGAATCTCGGGATATAGGAGTTTGATTAGAAGTTACTTTTGTGAAAGACATTATTTTTATTATACAAGAAATTTTTTACAGTTTTTACAAAATGAATTTTGTTTGATAATTGTCGTCGATGTAAATTAAAGGAAAAAAAAAGGATTAAAGAAAGAAGGTTTTATATATTTATGAAATATAATATGATATAATAATGAATTTTATTAATAAATTATTTTCTTTGATTTTATCCACACCAGTATGGATGAAACCAGGGATTATTTGGTTAGTATCGAGGAAGATTGAAGTGAAATGTGTTAGATAAATGATACAGAAGTTTTGAATGTACATATTTATAAGTTCTTGACAATTAATAATATTACGATTTTAATTAATAGATGTATTGTTGAAAATCTCCCAATAAAATCTTTAAACAATTGTTTAGATGAAATTCAATTAAGATTTGTGTTTCGTTACGATCAATTACTATATCAAATTAATATTCTATATAAGAAAATTATTAATCTAAATTTATGTTTATTACACATTATAAATGCACTTAGCGTTCTACTTTAATTAAAAAAATTTATTTCATATTATTTCAGAAAAAAAATTAATATTATTTCCATTATCAAAAAGTATTGTTCCTAAGTATTGTTCAATTTTAGAAATATTATTTATGTTTTGTGCGTGCTAATCTTTTTTTTTTTTATTACTTTCTATTTATAATACAATTATTTATTATTATTTATGTTTTCCTATTAAAAAATTACGCAATTTCTGTATTGTTTATTTTTTTCTTTGATCAAAATAGGAAAAAAAAGAAAGCAAATTATCTTTTCATAGTTTAAAACTGGTTAGAAATTTCTAAAGTTGACAATAATAAAATTTCAAAATATTGCATTATACTTAATGTAATAATAAAATTTGCATAAATGTTTAATGAAAAAAGGATAATAACATTGGGATGCAAAAAAAAAAAAAAACATAAATGGAAGAATGGAACACAAATGGAACACAAATGGAACACGAATGGAATATGAGTGAAACAACATGATGATAACCGAAAATTGTAGACAATAATAAGCTTTATCTGTATTTCATACTCCTGAACATTATGTTAGCTATTAATGGTCAAATCCATTCGCTTTAGCCGTTCAAGATAAAGGGAGTAATTTTTTAATTCCCTTTTTTAACAATTATTTTTCATATTATATAGCTTTATTAGTATTCAATGAATTATATTTTTTTAGTCACAAACAAAATTGTCCCACCAATGATGATAAAATATCCCTGTCCTTATTTCCTTTTAATTTAATTTAAATTTTTATTATTTGGTATTGTATATTTTTTTTTATTATTATTTGGTATTGTAGTAACATGAATCAACGAATAACATCAAAGTATAAGTATTAATAAATTCCACGTGAGTATGTATGTATAGATGATAATGCTTGTGCTATTAATAATAATAATAATACTGTAAATAATAATAGTTAATAACAATAATAGGACAATGCTCTTCTCGAGTAGTACCAAGTTCGCAAATTCATATTATTTAAAAATAACAGCTAGCCTTTTTAGGATTCTATCATTATTATTTTTTACATTAACATTTATTTAATTTTATCAATATACATACATTACTGTTATTAATATTTTTTTTCTTTGTTTTTTGTATTGGACCGTGTAATGTAACATTGTGTATGTAAATATATATTTTTTAAAGAAATAATGTTATTACTTAAAATACGCCAAAGAAAGCGAAATTAAAGTAATAATAATTACGTGTATAGACGCGAAAATTTTTATTAAATTAAATAAATTGGGTAATAATAGTTAAAAGATCTTTACTATTATTGGTTCATTTCAAGAATAATATCAATCGAATGATGTCGATGATATGCAAATGATCTCGAAAAAAAGAAAAATTGGTAATTTTGCATCGTTTAGTATTGGTTGATATTTTTGCGAATATTATTATTAAATACGTTAATAAATATAATAAATATATTCATATACATTAAGTAATAAATTTTTGTTATAAGGCTTAAAATGGATCGAGATCAAAGTTTCTTAGCACATCTGAAAATCTTTCTAAATGACAAAATAAGATATGTAAACCTTAATACATCAATAAAAAGAACAATAATAATAGACAATATCAATATCTTAACAAAAACAATGGTTAGATGATTTTGATAAGCGATTCGAAGTTATTAATAAAAAAAAAAGGAAAAAGAAAAAGTAAAGAATTTTAATTAACAAGTGTGCCACCTTTTTTAGTTCTTTTCAAATTTCACACATTAATTCTCAACAATTCGCATAATTTTCATAATTTTCATAATTTTTATTATTATTAATTTGAAGATAATAGGATTTTTGCTCTATTGAAAATATTTTTTCATGCTTCGCAGATGTTCATACAAATAATTAGTGTGTGTATAGTGAGTTCACTCTACACAAACAGCCTCGTCAAGCAAAGCTTGGAGAAAAAGTTTCCCCTGGTGACAGTGAATGACTTGGTCATGTGCTGATCGTTTTTTTTGATTTGATTGGCCATTATTATATAACTACAAGCACTAATAGTATAACTGACGCTTACCAAGAGGAATTGAATGAGGTTTCATATCGGTTGGATCGATATTAACCAAGATAAAAAAAAAATATTCTTTATCATATTTCATTAAGGTAATCGAATGGTGATATTTAATGTATATTAGAGCATAGATTATTTTATTTTACAGTGTTCTGACCAAAGAAATCATTCTAAGTATTAGCTAGAATGTTACTAAGCAAAAATATAACCTAACTTTTCGGAAGAATAGTAAATTTTAATATTTTAAATATTATAAGTAATTTGTATAACCTGTCCAAAAGGATTCCCGAGAAGAATACTCATTATTTCATTTCACATAACAAAAACACCTATTAATGAAAGACTTAAACCATTCATTCTTATTTATTCTTCAAACGCAGCTCCCAAATTCTTTTTTCACTTTTAATAATTTAAAAATTTAAATAATTTTGATACTACTAACAAAATAAATCATTTTTTTTTGTTTAGACAATAGGTTATCTATCTTTCGAAAATATGCGTTTTCCTTTAGAATTATTATATGTATGCTAATAAAGAATCAAAAAAAGGTCTGAAGCGAATAGTGCAATGGTTTCGTTTTTGATTCTTCAGGTACTCAAAAATCACGTTATACATGTTATGATCAACATCAGCTGATTACACAAAGATTATTATGTGGCAATTTTTTTGTCTCTGAAACAAATCTTTAATATCTTTTAAGCAATTTTATAATCTCAATCAAACGTTTTATTTTTTCGTTCGTGCTTGTTAACATAATTCACAATGAGTCAAAAAGGTTCTAAAGGTAATGTATTGCCCTTTGTCTAGTCCCTTGAGAGGAGAAAAAGAAAGTTGTTTTAAAAACGTGTTATAAATCATAAAAAAATAAAACAGAACTTATATGAATTAACCTATGCATTTAATAGGAGAGGAATATGAGACAATAGCAACGAGACGTCCAAGGCGTGCGGCGACTCAGAGTGTCTCTTATCAGACAAAACCTGCTCGTGCCATAAGAACAACTCGCTCTTCAACACGTAAACGATCACAACCAGCAACATCACCTCCACCTTCACCACCTTCACCGCCTTCACCTGTCGAAATAAGTGTAAAAAAAGTTGATGCACCTGATAAGGAAACAAAACAAGAACCTTATTCAATGGAGATTGATGAATCTAAACAGGAACAATCTCATCCAACTAGAATTCGTCTTAGATTACATTCACCCGAACGTAGTACATCACCTGTTTCCGAAAAACCAATAAAACGAAAACGTAAAGCTGGTCGACCACGTAAGAATGAATCAAGTCATCGAATTACTTTATCTACTGGTAATCACAAGAAAGTTAAGGGATTATCACACTCAATAGAAGATGCGGATGAGGCGGACAATGAAATGGATGATCGATTACAAAAAAATAATGATGATGATCAATCAACTATAAAAAATGAAGAAGTTACATCTAAAGAAGATAAATCTAAGGAAGGGAATAATATGAAACTAGATGTAGACAGTGAAGAAAATGAAATTATAGATGAAAAAGGTGAACAAAAAATTACAAAAGATGGGGAACTCTTAGGAGGTATTTATATAAAAAAATTTTTTTTCTAATTGAAATTATAAATTTTATTTTAAAATCATGTAAATTAATAATATAACCATTTTTGATTTTCTAGGGAGAAAATATAAAGTCCCCGTCTTCCAATTAGAATCACGTGAATCTACCTTATACATGTGTTCTATGGAGCCAGCAAAATGTTTGGGTTTTCGGGATAGTTATTTGTTTTTCTCAAAAAATCCTTCCTTAAAACGTATCTCTGCAACAGATGAGGAACGTGAATGGCTTGTTGCAAATGGCTATCTACCTTCCAATTTTCGAAATAGAGCAATTACGATAGTGTCAGCTAGATCAATATTTAAATTATTTGGATATAAAATTGTACTTGGAGGGAAGCGACGAAGGGACGATTATTTTGAATCGAATATTAATTATGATGATAATAATAATAGCGATCAAGGATTTGATTCAGAAAATGAAAATGCAAACAATGTTCTTTCGAGACGATCCAATTATATGCCAAATCCTCGTGCTCTTATAAGTGAAACTAATTGGATGTATCATGTAGCACTTTCATGCCGTGATTTTAATAATAGATTAAATATCCATCGTTCTGAAAAAACAAAGTTTTACGATCCACATACTAATAACGAACAAATTCCTCGTGACACTCAACCAACACGTATTCAAGTTGAAATGGTTTCTTCTCCTCATTTTTATATAAGAAAGGGACAAACTACCACAATAGAACCTGAATTACAATTTAAACCAAGATTTATAAATCCTCTTGGAAAACTTACTACGGGGGTTACAGAAGTATTACCTCCTGATATAAAAGAGATAGTTGAAAATATGAAGAAAAATGAAGAAGCTGCTGAATGCAAAATTGAGAACAAGTATCCTTTGGCATTAATGGATAGCCAATTTCAAACATCTTTTCCTATGTAATTAATAAAATTTATATTTTGTAAACTATATTTATATTGTAAAATAATAAAATAAAAAAATTCAATATACTAAGTCGCGATCTTCTTCTATAGACAACAAAATAGATTTTTATATGATTCTAATAGTGCAACCACAATGAACACAACTCCTGCCACCCTAGAAACTTTTGCAACTGAAGATCAAATTTATTTACAACAAAGAAAATTCCAACTTGCACAACAAGTTTACAACAATCAAGTATGACGGTTATTAGACAATTATTGATCAATTTTACATAAATGCATATACGTATATATTATGTATTATTGGATATTTTGATTCAAATTTTTATCTGTTAATGAAAGACTAACAACCAGTTAGGAAGGTCCTTCTCGCAATATACTTCGAGTAAGGCCAATCCTCAATATATATGTGGTGTCATAACAGCTACAACCGGTCAACCATGCAGACGTGCAGTAACTGCTGAAGGAGAAAGGTGTATGTACCATAAAGAAACCGTGCAAGCTCCTACTTATATTGGTAAATCCGTCAATAGATCTAAAACTGCAAGTTCAATTGTGGAATCAATGAAGGTAAATAAATAATATAAAATAATCTAATATCATGGCATTTATTATAACTTATATAACTTATTATTTCAATAAAATATTTAAATTTGAATATTATTAGGCGTCTAATGCAGCTGCGAATGTACCGCTTCCTAATATGCAACTTCATCCTATTCTTTCTCCTAATGCTTGTGCAATTTGTTACTCGCTTGTTGTTCCTTCAACAATACAATTACCTCTTAAAGTCGCATGTTCAACGGAGCATACAACTCAGTGCTCGCAATGTAATAGAAAGTATCATCCTATTTGCCTTGGACTTAATACACCTAAACTTATGGTTTCGATTGAAAGTTATCAATGGCAATGTAACGATTGCAAGACTTGCACCGTATGCAAATCTTCTGGAGATGAAGCTACTCTTCTTATATGTGATGACTGTGATCGGGCGTGGCATCTCGACTGTAGTTCACCGAAAGTAACTGAAGTTCCACAAGGTATTTATCTCTTTATTTATCTCTTTTTATTTATCTTCCGTATTATATACAAATACAATTTTTATTTTTTATTTTTTTATTTTTATTTTTTATTTTTTATTTTTAACATTTTTAACACTCAATGAAAAAATTCCCCCACTCCTTATTAGGTCCGTGGTTGTGCTCCCTTTGCGCACAATGCGATTCATGTGGAGAAAAAGCCACTTCTTTGAATGATGCTGCTAACAATTATATACATAAAGAAGCAAATTCCGATAATTCGGATTACCCTATTTACCTAGCTACAATTTGTAATAGGTGCGAGGCTAATTTTTCTGCAGATAGGTTTTGTCCCGTGTGCCTTAAAACTTATTCAGATGCAGATGATAGTCAAGATGATGATGATAAGGATATGGTATGTTGTGATGATTGTGACAGTTGGATTCATGCAAGATGTGATCCTCTCATCACTCCTGAACGATATAAAGAGCTGGTTGAAGAAGATGCTAAGTACAGATGTCCGTTATGTGATGGAAGAATTGAACCTCTTAAAGAAGGAGACGAGGAACAAATTCTTGCTTTGTCTGGTTCTCCCATGGCGATTCCCGCTTCCTCAATTTCTCAAGGTCGATATATTAGAGGAATCGTGAACTTTAGAGGAAAGAATGTTGCAGTGCCGGTGATTCGAGGAGGTGATAGATATACTATGTGAGAGGAATGTTGTAAATAATATATAAAATAATGATAATTTTAATTTTGAAATAAATAAATAACTAAAAAATTAATTAAATCTATCTTCTAACTTATTATAATAGTAGCTTAAAATAAAATTGTTTATTCCAATATTATAAACATAAAATTTACGAATATGTTGATATAAATGGAAATTGATATACAATCAACGCGTATCATACGTCATCGAAAAAAATCGCCGATCACAATTGAAGTTTAATGTGATTCTACATGCCAACACCAAAACTTTATTTCCAAGTATAGAAATAAAATTTTGTTTGATTAGTTAATACATTGTGACAATTTTATTAGTTCTGCGATTTGAAAAACATTCGTCCGCAATTAAATTTAATTTACAAATTTGCAGTTAATTGCAATCAATATAATCAATATATATCTATCTGTTCTGTTTCCTAATGAAAATTAAAATGTAAGACGATTGAATTCACTGGTTGTTTGAGACATTGTTATTCAAATGTTGTACCTTTTGATTAAAATTTTTTACCTAAATAAAATTTCTTCCAAAAATCATCTGATTCAAATATAAAATAAAAACCATAAATCTTTTTTATTTGATTTTTGCAATCCAAATATCATTCTAACCTTCCAAGTCTTCTTACGTCTTACGTAAAATTCTCCTTTGTAATATAATATTATACGTGATTGAATGTTAAATAAATCATCTTTAGAATTTGTACCACCATTGCATTATTGCATTGCAGATTGTGATGTGAAACCCCTATATAAACCCCTTTTTAGCGTTTGAATGTTTAGATATTGCATTTTGTTTTCTGCAATGTCACAAAGTCCGTATCATATTAGTTCACCTTTATCTTCCCCTGATGGCACTTCACTTAGTTCTGGTCTTGAGGGTGATGATATTTTAATGATATTCAAAATTTTGTTTTTGAATATTACATAAATATTAAAATAAAATTTGATTTTTTTTAGATGAATCAGGACAACAAAGCTTAGAACGTAAATTACGTAAAGAATTAAGAAGAAGAAAACGTGAACAAAAAAAACTAGAGATTGAAATGGAACTCGAAAAAGAGGCTGAAGCAAGACGAAAAGAACGTAGTGTTACTTTAAAAAAAATAGAAGAAGGTGAAGAAAAAGAAGAAGTACATTTTCAAGAATGGGCGAAAAAAATTAAACAATTGCAAGAAGAGGGTGATATAGAAAGACAAAGAGTTGAACGAGAATTGGAAGAGGTAAGAATAATTGATAATATATGAATTCGGAGTTTTACATTTTTATACCATACGCGTTTTTTTTTAATGAGAATTTTTTTTTTTTTTTTTAAATAAAACTTTAAAATATTATTACTGATCTAATATTATTCTCTTTAAAAAAACAAATTAAAGGACATCATAAAAACTAGGAAAGCAAGAGAAGAAAGACGTCGAAGCAGTTCAGTGTTGACAACAACAACAAATGATCCATTAAAATCATTGAAAAGAAATTCAATGGATCCATCATTTGGATCATTAACCCCAAAGTCACTCGGTTCCCCTCCCGTAAATTCTAAAATAGATTCATTTGTAATAACAAAAATTTCGGAAGAACAAACTGCCAACATTAAAATAGATAACGTAGAGACTATCTCTAATTCTTCATTGACTTCTGAACCTCTACCGATTAACGCGAAAATTGATATCAATAATAACAAAGTAATTTTTATAATTATTTACTTTCATAAAATATGAAACCTTCTAATATAATATGTTTCATTTATTTCAAAAGGGTACCAAACATCTATCAGTAATTGAACCAAGAAAAAATACCATTGAAGCTGTAGAATCTTTAATTAAAGAAGATAATGATTCTAAAGAGGTAACTTTAAAATATTCATTCTTTCATAAATAAATTAATTTATAACTCTTAAAAATATATCGATTTACAAAAAATTTTATTTAATTAAGGGTGATGGAATTACGTCAAGATTAATTAAAAGATTTTCAAATTCAAATAATTTAAATCCTACCTCTCCAAGTCCATCACCTCCATCGAAACAACAACAACGTGGAAGTGTAGCTGCAATTATTCAACAACACAAATTAAAAGAACACAAAACCGAGTTAGACAAATCTCCGACTTCTCCTATACCTAAGAAAAAGGTGTTAGAAAATTGGGGTGGTGGGCAATCGTTTGATAATTCTAACAAGGACACTGATGTGACTAAAAGCATAGGATTTAAAATTAGTCCAGTTAGTAAAAAATCTGATGATGAATATGGAAATAAATCTTTTACACAACATAAAAACATTAGCGATAATGAAATTAATAATTCTGTAACAACTTCTGATTCTGAGAACAAAGACATTAAAGACATTAATGAAAAAAAAATTAATTTGAAAACTAATTCATTTAGCAGTAAAACAGCAAATGAAAATAGTAATGAAATTAATAATAATAAAATTAGTAACAGAATTAATGTTAAAATTGAAAATAAAGAAGCGGAAACGCCCAATATCTCAAAAGATTCTCAACAAAAGGTCACAGGGCGCTTGAACATAAATAATATTTTTAAGGTCGTGAAAAAAAAAACTCCGAATTATTTATTTTGAATTGTTTTATGTGAACATTCCATGCTTATATTGTATATTTATTATATTTCAGGAAAATGAAAGTAAAGAAAGTAAAGAAAGTAAAGAAAGTATTTCATCAAAACCAAAAAAATCTTTAACTGATCCATTACCGACAAAGAAAAAGTCTTTGATAGTTGAAAGTTCTCAGGATAAGAATCAAGATAAGAATCAGGATAAGAATAAGGATGAGAGTGGTAATGTAAAATCTGTTAAAAAAACAGAAGATACAGATATGAAAAAAGAGAAACCAAAAATAGAAGTAGAAATAAAAGGAGATTTACCCAAAACTCCAGGAAAAATTAAATTTCCGGAATTATTTAAGGTGAAATGAAATATATTAATTTCACTTTACACTATTTTATAATTTTGAATTTAACTATTTAATAAAAATATGTCAATGTTTCATCACATTAATCAATCAGGAAAAAGAAACCAATAATTTACCTCCTCGACTTAAATCAGAATTGCCACGCAAAATGACTTCTCTTCTTACTGCAAAGTTTGAGGATTCGGAAAAGAAATCTCAGACAAGTAAAAATTCCTTAGATGATAAACAAAATTCTAGCAGAGAGGTCATTACTACAACTACTGACACTACTACAACCACCACTACTGTTGCGGAAACAGTGACTAGTACGCAAATTTGTGAAAAAGATAAGATTGAAGTTGAAAAGTCAATAGAAAAGTCAAGTAATAAAATAACTGAATTAAATAATAAAAATGGTAACACGAGTACGAAATTGGAGGATAAGCCGAAAGTTCAAGAAAAGAAAGGGGATTTACCAAAAGTTCCAGGAAAATTAAATGTAAAAGGAATTTTCAAGGTAAGTTTAATAATAAATATATGAATTATATAATAATAAATTAATATTTATGAATGAATCAATTAAAATTTATTGAATATAACAATTGTATAGGAAAAAGAAAATAATGTATATGCACAACCGAAACCTGAACCTCAGAGAATAAAGAAATCTCTTGTAGGTTCAGTGTTCGAGGAACTACAGAAAAAAAACGAAGGTAGTTCAGATACTAAATCAAAAACTCCGATTGGTAAAAAATATGTTAATGATAGTATTACTACTACGAATTCCAACACAAACGTTCCTATTACCTCTAAAAGTGAGGAAAATTTGGTTAAACCCAATTCAGAATTTTCTAATTCCAAAGTGACCAAAGAACAAGATTCCAACTTGATCATTGATCAAGTTGAACCTGAAGTACACAAAGTGAAAGAAAGTTCATCTAAATCTCCTGGAGGCTCACAAATAGATGAAATATCCGAGGTAAGATAGTATTATCGTATTGATTTTATAAAAGAGAATCTAGCTTCTTATTTAACTTTTTTTTTTTTTTTTTAGAAAAAAGAAAGTACTGAGTTACAACCTACACCATCAGTAACAGAAACTTCAAGCAAGAAATCTTTGGTAGCTTCCTTGATTAAAGAAAGAGAAAAGAAACTAAATGAAAGTGGTGAAGAAAGTTCTTCTAAGCCTCAAGCTGGTAGAAAAGTTCTACTTGACAAATTACCTTGGGTGGCTCAAGTATTTAAGTTTTTCTTGATTTTAAATAATAATAATTGTTATTCATTATTAATTCAAATTTGATTTTTTTGATTATATATATTTTTTAGAAATCGAATGATAATAGTTCATCAACCCCTTCAAAAGGACCAATCCCACAAAAATTAAATTCTCCATTCTTTACCTCTACCTCTACCTCTACCACTACCATTACAAAAACGAATGAACAATTTAAAGCGCCTTCAAAGTTAGACAATTCAATTTCGCAAAGATTAGAAGGTGTTTTTGGAAATAAAGTGGTGTTGCCTGGAATGGGACGTGGAGGGATGATAAAAAAAGTTGACATAATTGGGGAAAATGGAGAAATTAGTAATAATAACAGTGGAGAAAAGAAAGATGAGGAAGTTCAAACTATTAAACCTTTAGTTCATGTAAGTTAAATAATTTTATGTATTTTAATAATACTAATAATTTTTATTAATATTAATTATTCATTTAATTCATACAGTTAACAAAAGATAGACCAAGAAGACCTGGTAGGTTAAAACCACAGATAAGTTCAGTAAAATCTGTAAATAATGATGTAAATAAATCAAATGTAGTAGAAAGTGATGAAAAAAAAGTAGGAAATATTTGAAACAATGGAAAAATGAATGAAAATAATAGACACTACTACTGAAATTGATAGATTTTTAGATTTAATATTTTATTATGCATTTTTTATCATTATTAAATATAATACTGTTACAAATACTTAACTTAACTTAATACCACTTATAAATGATTTTATGGCTATTAAAAAACAAGGATCCTTTACTTAGAGATTCCTCTCAGATACAAAATTGAAATATTACTTGATTAGGACAGTAATTATTATTTTTGTCACCTGTAATATTATAATTAATTATTTGTATATTGTAATTTGCAATTATAAATAAATTTATTAATTTCCTTTGCCATTACTGTAATTAATTATATTGAAGTTCTTATTGATTATTGATCACAGAATAATTGACATTAATATAAAAATTGATATTTTCTATATTATTTTTAAATATAGTAAATTTATTGCCGCGCATATTCTTTTTTCGGTTGTGTTACAGTACATCACATACATAACATATAGTCACTTTTTCCATTTTTTTTTCTTACACTCCATAAATGTCTGAATTCTTTCTAAAAACTTCTATCGAAAGATTGTATTTTTTATACTTTAAACGTTCCTTAGGAAAGCCTTCAATAAACCATACTGTTAGCATACTAAAATATAGTTAATAAAATAGTTAATAATATAGTTAATAATATACGAATTTCTCACGTTTCATTCAAACCGTTAAGGTTTTTAGTATTAATAATAGAAATTAGTATTATCATTTATCGCATTAAATTAAAAAATGCCTCTAAAAAGAAAAGTCACCTCAAATCAAAAAATTCGCAGGTCTTCGAGACTTGCTGATAAACAAACCGATCAGATCAATAATGACGTATCTTCTGAAGAGTTTGAAGAGGGAGAAACAAAAACTTCTAGAAAAAGAACAAAGAACGATGTAGTTACTAATGGTCGAGCCAAAAAGCCGCGAGTAGCTAACTCTAGATCCAAAAAACTACTAAAGTCGGAAGAGGGCGAAAAGGATGACCTTGGTGAACGACCCCAAGACGGCGTTGTGAATTTCGATGATATAGTGACAAAATCCGAAAATCTTAAAGAGGAATCCGATACTAACGATGATAAAAATAGATTCGATGGAGAGGTAAAAGAAATGGTTGTACAAACTGATGTTAATAAGTCGAAATGGGATATTTTCAAAGCCAGGCTCTTTGAAATCCCTAAGCAACCCAAACCGGCGTACAAAGAATATCAAGATAAGATGCTCGTTAAACGCCCTTGGATGAAAAAAAGAGACATTGATTATTTACACAAATTACTTTCGAATTCTAAATCGGAATTAGGATATAAAGTAATGAAGCACATTATCAACTTTAATGTCTATAAAAATTTTACAGATGAACAAAAATCGAGACTTTTGAAACTTTTGCCACGATGCGAATTAGTTCCGATTGCAAGTGAATCTGGTGAACCCATTGATACTCCACGAATCGAAAGAGAGCGACAGGCTCAGGGATTAAAACTATATGAGGCTGGTGTAACTGAAACTGTTACTGATATCGATTCAACCAAGGTTGTTCCACGCTTTGATTTTTGGCTTTCTGACGCTTTTAAGGATGCTAGGTGGTGGTTTCAATTAAGTCTTAGATATGGTTATTTTTCAAGAATAGGTGTAGATAGTCAATGGAACAATTTGGAAAAATTTAAGACCGAAGTTCCTAATTGTTGGAAAGTGAGTATATTTAAAAAAGAATTTATATTTGTTATATATTTTATTTACTTCTTATTAATTTTTAAATTTCTTTTATAAATAGAATGATGCCTTTGAACAGGATTGGGGAATTGGTCTATGGGGAAAAATGGCAAATAAACAAGTTGCTGGGTAAATATGTTATTATCTATTTTTATAATATTTTTTTTTAATAAATAATTAAATAATTTTAAAATATATATATATATATATATGTATGTACATGTTCTTTGAATTCAGTGATTCTGCCCAAATATCACTTCCTGATATGGTTAAGGCTCGAATCATTAGACCTAATGATATTTTAAAATACAAACGTCTATTCAAAAGTCTTGGCATCACTGTTAATATGGATTTGAAGATTATATCAGTAAATGAATCTAACGGCCATCTTCAAATTATGTTAATGAAAGAAGATAAGAGTAAGATAATCGATGAAGTTCATAACCCGACTCGATTAGAACATGAGCTTCTTGATTGGGATGGTCAAGTGCCAAGACAATCACGTCCTAACGGCAATGCATTTAAAAACTTCACAATCCAAAGATCTCCAGATTATACACCTAGTTTATTTGAAGCGAGAAAAGAATATTGGGCGAAAAATTCATAATCACAATATCAAGCAACCATAACCATTTATGTTCCGGATAAATTTGATGAATTGATAATAACATTTCATTTATATATTTAAATGATATGATATTTTCTTTTATTATATGATATTTTAAAAATTCTTCGATTTTGTAACATTTTATTAATTTGTATATAATTAAAATTCAATATTAACATTTGTAAATTGATATCAAATAAATATGATTTGCATGATTTAAAATTTTCTATAAAATTTCTATAAATGTAATAAATTATTTGTGCAGAAAAATAAGGGCAAAAGAAAAGAATTTTCTTATATATAATGAAAAATTAATTTAATAAATAATAATTTTTTTTTTATTCCTAATTTTCTGAATTCATTTTTGCACCTTCAATATCAGCTAACACCATTTCTTTTACTAATGAATCGAAATCCACTTTTCGTTTCCAACCAAGAAGTTTCTTTGCTTTGGAAGGATTACCAAGTAAAAGGTCTACTTCGGTAGGACGGAAATATTTTGCGTCGACACGTACACGAATAAATCCTGTTCCCTTTTCACGACCGATAAGTTCTTCTCCTTCACCTTCCCACTCAATAATTTTGTTTACAACAGCAAATGCTTTCTCAACATATTCTCTAACAGTATGAGTTTCTCCAGTAGCAAGCACAAAGTCTTCAGGTTGATCTTGTTGCAACATTAACCACATACCCTCTGAAATAATAGGGAATAATAGAAATTTTAAAAAAATATGAGATTTGAAATTTATGAATCTCATGAATTTCATACATAATTTTTATATGTATAATTGTATTATGTTATACTAACCGATATAATCTCTAGCATGACCCCAATCACGTTTAGCATCAATATTACCAAGCCATAGACATTCTTGTTTCCCTAAATGAATTTCGGCAACGGCACGCGAAATCTTACGAGTAACGAATGTACGACCACGACGAGGAGATTCGTGATTAAAAAGAACACCGTTACAAGCAAACATACCGTAAGCTTCACGATAATTAACAACTATCCAGAAAGCATATAATTTGGCGACACCATATGGGGAACGAGGATAAAATGGAGTGGTTTCTGATTGGGGCGTTTCCACTACTTTACCGTAAAGTTCGGAAGTAGAGGCCTAAAAAAAATGGTAAGAATAAAATGCAAATAAAATTTAAATAGAAAAAAAAAATATTTAAAGAATTTTATTATTTATTATACCTGATAAAATCTAACGTGATGAGTTAGACCACACGTTCGGATAGCATCTAATAAACGTAAAGTACCTAATCCATCAACGTCTCCCTAATAATAATGAAATAATAAAATAATGAGATCAAAATTATTAAAGTCGATATGATCATTTTAATTTATAGAAAATTTTAAACTTACTGTATATTCGGCCATATCAAAAGAAACCTTTACATGAGATTGTGCACCCAAATTATAAATTTCAGTTGGGAGAACTTGGGAAACAATATGTACAAGATTGGTTGAATCGGTTAAATCACCATAGTGAAGAACCATTTTGGGACCTAGAAATTTTCATATTAAAAAGTAAAAAAAAAAAGAATGTAACATCTATCATGTATTCCGAATTTATAATTCAAATTTTTGCCTACGTTCGTGTTGATCTTTATAAAGATGTTCAATTCTTCCAGTATTGAAAGATGAAGAACGGCGAATAATTCCATGAACAGTGTAACCTCTTTCTAAAAGAAATTCAGTGAGATAAGAGCCATCTTGTCCAGTAATACCTTTATTAAAATAATCAGTCGATGTTTGAATTCATCATCATTTTAAAATTTTGATAAATTTGTTAGAATTTCATATATTATATATATGTATTACTCGAAGGATAAATTATTGTATATATTTTATATTCATCAAAATCAATAGATACCAGTTATTAAAGCAACTTTTCTCTTTCTATACTCTTCAGGTGAGAGTGAAAGAGCCTTTTGAACATCAGGTGATATGACAGTTGACATTATATTAGGTGTTTTTTTTTTTTTTTTTGCAGTAAAGATTGAAGCGAGAGTGTAAAAGAATTAATTAATGATTTCATTGGTTAGAATATATATCAACTTCGGGAACACAATGTATGAAATGTATGATTGGTTGTGCAGAATGAGAAGGTACAAAATTTATTCGTCTCGCAAGATGCTAACTGTATATGCAATCAGTCGGAAATTTTTATTATGCAATTTCGCGTGCTTGAGCAATATACAAATAAAAATGCAATTAATATATTTGATAATTTTAAGATTTTTCAGGTTTTTCAGGTTTTTCAGGTTTTTTCGCCAAATTGTGATTCAAATCCTTCAAGTGTTAATAATTCAACCTATCATAAATGGTCAATACGAAATTAAACAAATAAATAATGATAAATAAGCGAGACAAATGATTAAAAATGTAACAAATAATAATAAATAATATTTACACCGTCAATGGGAACTCTCTTGGATAAATCTTCTGATGAATCATAGATTAAAATAAAGTGACGGCATTTTTTCCAATTCATAGTGTGAACTCGTATCATTGTACGATGAGTACTTAACAGCATAGTCGGAGGTTCCGCAGTTTTCTAAAAATTTATATTATATTGATAAAGATATTAACAATATATATAATATATAGAGAGATATATATTGATAACTAATCGAGATTTTCATACCAAATTGGTCTTGAATATTTCTCTCGATGAAAAATATCTAATTTTATTTGCTTTTGCATACATTATTAAATCAAGATAAGCTATTTTCGCACTAATAAAACATAAATATATGTTAATAATAATAACTTAATTAAAAAATGACAATTAAAGACTTTATTATTATTACTCACTAATATTGATCACGTTCCGTTGAATTTGTTGCCACATATGCTAAATATTCTAAAATATTCTCATTTAAAACTAATTCCCATTTTGCTCCGTTATGTTTATAACTTTGCTATAGTTAATAAAAAGAATAATAAAAAAGAGAAAAGGGAAATCATTAACATATTTTAGATATGAAACTTGTAAAAAAAGAACTTTACATAATTCATAATGGCAAGTATTCGATCTATGGCATCTTGTTCGTTGATTAATACTGAAGTTGTTGCGGTCACATAACCACCTGAAAATATTTAGAAAATTTTTGAGAATTCATTCTTTTATAAAATATGCAAAAGAAATAATAACGTCATTAACCTTGGGGAAAATATTCTTCCAAGGTAAAGGAATTTTGAGATTTTGGATCGATTCCATATCCAAAGAATTTACAATTAGGTAATCGTTTGAGATTTATTAAATTAGGAATAAAGAGAACTTGTTTTCCAAAAAGATAATGAATCTATTATATAAACTTATTTATTAGCTAAAAAAATATTAACAATACAATACAATATTAACAAAATATAACAATATAGAAATATTTCGCTTGCCAAAACCAGTTCAATTTCATCGTTATAATCTTCATAAAGAATAGCCCCCAAGTGTTGTATTATATTTCTCATATCTTTAACTTCAAAACAATCGTTCGAATCTGGAGAAAAGTCCATATATTTAATACCAGGATTTTTAAAGATTTTCAAAATATCATGACAATTATAAATATAAATGAAAGTCCCAACATTCCAATTTAATGGAACATTTTGAATAGTTTCATTGTCAATGATTATATTACTCATAATATTACAAGGAAAAGTTTTTTCATAAAGAATATATGGAACTCTTGGACGTTTAGATAACTTTAGTCTTTGAACTATTTTGTCATTAGTGGGAAAAACGAACCAACATGATGTATTTTCGTCGTTTAACCAAATTATTCCAACCTAAAATAAAGTAAAAATCAAAAATAAAATTAAATAAAAAATAAGTTAAATAAATTAATTAATTTTAAATAAAAGAACTTAACAATATCATTTTCTTTCATATAAATATATTCTGCATTCACGTTACGTAGAGTAAGAGGTTTTTCAACAGGATTAATTATAAATAAGGATTCTCGTTCGTTAATTAATTCTAACGCGTATGGTAATTTTATATGGTCCTTCATCCATAAATAATCCTTTTTCTTAATCTCATTACTATATATCAAATATATTTATATAAATATGTATATAAATCATCAAAAAATTTTAATTTAACATAATTAAAGATTGCCTACAATTTAACGAGATTATTACATCGTCCAGGAAAAGGTTTCACGATAACTGTAGCGATATTTTGAATTGGATCCGCCTTGACGAGACTTCCTTTCCACTCTCTTTAATTTAATATTATAATTTAATAAAACTCAAAAAGGAATTATTTATTTATAATAATATTAATACTTACAAAGCTGATTCTTGTACTGTGTCTTATTTTTTTTTTATAAAAAAAAAATATTTTAATATTATTAATGTTGAAAATTCTATATGAATTAAGAGTTTTTTTTTTGTTTAAATTTACCATTAACATTCAGCGCGGACATTACTTGTTGCAATTGTAATTCCTTATTCATTTTCAGTTTTCTTCGTTCCCTTTTTTTTTAAACAATAAGAGAATTTGAATTACTGAATTTATTTATCGCGATCCGACCAATTATTTAACTTACTCTTTGACTTTTTCATTAAAAGCTTTGCTCCGTTCAATAGATTGTGATTCATCTGGTAAACTAAATTTAACCGATTTTCCTGTCTTTTTCAATTTATTTGAATTTGCATTTGTTTTCGGTGGTGTATTACTGTTTTTCAAAGAAGAATTTTTTGTTGCCATTGTAGAACTTTCTGTCATTGTAATATCAGTTATATCATTTTTATTATCTTTAGCATTAGATAATGTTTGCCGTGAATTATTAATTTTGCTTGCCCGAGATATTGATGGAGTGGTAGCATTATTCGAAGCATTGTTCGAAGAATTATTCGATACCCTTAACTTCTTCATTTGTTTGGCCAACAATTCATTATTACTAAATTTTTTTTTAAAAAATTTTGCCGATAAAATTAATTGATAGTATTTACATTCTTCTATTAATAAATCATAAAAATCTTTTTTTTTAACTAACATTTTAATAGGCAATCCAAGACTTTTAAATCTAGGTTTTAACTTTTTTGGCGACATTTTATGACAATTGTAAAGAATGGAAAGAATTGAAAGAATTTCACAGATATTTATTATTTTTATAAATTTTAAATTATTTCATGACGTGTCATAAAATAAATTTACAATTTTGAGGGTTTCAAATACTATTAAATATCTAAATATCTACAGACAAGATTTTTCATTTTCTTATTTTCTTAGTAGTCCCTCCCTCTATTAATTAGGAAAAATTTATTACCATATGACGGAAAAATTTTTCGTTATAATAAATAATCATCCATGTGATTTATAATCTATGATAACTCATAAATTATAACTTATATAAATACCTAAAGAAATTCTCCCTAAAAATGTCGCTTTGGCGGAGTGGTTAACGCGGTGGCCTGCTAAGCCATTTCCCTTTGGGAGCGCAGGTTCGAATCCTGCAGGCGACGAATTAAATATTTTTTATGATAAATTTCCGATATTTCCGATGATAATAACAAGTTTGACAGGTTCGATTCACTCCGGAGTTGCCAGAACGTGACCTACTGAATATTTTTTTATATGCCATCTTTTCAGATTTCAAAAAAAAAAAAAATAATAACAATAATCATGATGAGCTCTCAACGTTTTTATACCAAATCAATACCATATCTTTCTTCAATTAATTCTTCAAAAATTACAAAATCATCATTATTTAATTTTATTTCATTTCAATATCAATTTCCTTTCATTTCGTCAAATTTGATAATACAACAAAAAAGAAGAGGAACTGCAAAAGCTCAAAGTTAGTTTGAGTTTGATACATATTTTAAGAATTCATTTTTTTTTCATACAAATTTATCATTTATCATTTCCACTTTTAGAAAAGAAAAAACTATCTGCTCCTGCGAAAACTAAAAGTTTTCAGAAATCAAAATCAAAATTGAGAAAGAAGGGTGGGCAGGGTGAGGTTTGTTAATTACATAATAATTTATAATAATTTCTTTATTTTAACTTCATATTTCATCTGTTTTATTAATTTCTTAATTTTCATTTATTTTTTAGGCACAAGAAGAGACTGTATCTAGTTCCATTGGAACAAAGAACGCTGAATTTTACAAACCACCTCCTCTCGTATTATCAGAAGAGTTGCTTCCGGTATGTGTTAATTATTATCATTTCGATGAATTCACAATATTGATAAATGTAATTTATTAATTTCATTATTTTTTTTTTTTTAGATTGCATATGTGGAAGAAAATATTGGTAAAGTTTTTAAACTTCCGGAAGAAATCGTACAAAAATTCGAAGTATTTAAATATCCACCACTGTTGGGGAAAGAAGTTAGCAATTTTAAAATATTCTAATGATATTATCGATAATAATTATATTAATTTATTAATGATTTATTTTTTCTTTACAATAGTTGGAGATTTTACCCGGTCCATCTTTAGTGATGCGTAGATGTTCAATAGAATTAATTAAAATTATTAAATCAGCAATGGGCATGGAAACTAATTATAGCACAGAAACTAATTCTAGCACGGAAAACAATTCTACCACGGAAATCAATTCTACCACGGAAACCGAATCCAAATCCAATTATACCACGGCAACCAATAGCAAGAATACCAAAACCAGTTCCAGAAATGATACAATAACCAATTCTATTATATTAAGTAAGGAATAATTAAATTCTGATATCTGATTCGTGATCCATGTTTAATTTTCGTTTCTTCGTGGATAGCTGGTCAAGAAGGTGTGGGAAAAAGTGTATTGTTACTTCAAACAGTTAATTATGCATTATGTGAACCATGTATTGTGATTTACATTTCGGATGGTAATTATAATTAATTATAAATTTATAAAAAATTTAATCGTAAACGAAAACCATGTTTTTTAATAATTATCTTTATTAAAATATTTAACAGGAATTAAGTACGTTAATAGCACGTACCCTTATATAAAGAACGCGAAAACAGATGAATTTGTTCAACCCACATTAGCAAAAGAATTGTGTAATCGAATAAAATTGGTCAATAGGCGCTTTCTTGAAGATGTATGTTGATACGTAAATCTCTTCTTTGATCAGAAAACAAAACGAATGATTGATTTTTAAAACAATTATTATTACTTTTATTACATTTTTTTTTTGTTAATTAATATGAAAATAAGTTTACATTGAAGGATGATCATGAAATTGGTCGCGTTATAATTAAACAGGGATCTAATATAACGAAATTATTAGATATAGGAATCAATGACTCAAATGCAGCCCAACTTGTTTTTGAGATATTTCTAGAAGAGATTAGCAATAACAATAAGTATGTGCTCCGTGTGAAAGAGAAGTTTTACTTTTATAAATTGTTTAACTTCTGTTCTGTAATATCAAGATCTTTGATAATTTTATTTTTACAAATTAGATACCCTGTCCTTCTTGCAGTTGATGCAATTAACGCATTTTATACTGTTTCCGAATACACAGATATGGATAATAAACGCATGGAGGCTGTTAGATTATCACTCCCTCGTACAATATTAGAATATTTCTCAGGACATCGTAGATTTGTGAGTTTATATATATATATTGTTCGTCAGGAGAGCCATTGCCCAAAAGTTAAAACTTTATTAAAGTTTTCGCATATTAATTTTCTTAGGCTCGGGGGGCTGTGATTGGAGCCATGTCGCACGTTGACAAGGCCTTTCTTAGTAAACCTTTAGACCTTGCGCTTGGATTTATTAAACCATCACCATGGGTACAATATTCTCCTAATATTTTGAAATATACGGAAGGATTGAAAATTTTTGATGTTCCAACATTTACCAGAGATGAAGCAAAAAGTGTCATGAATTATTATCGTGAATCGTCAATTATTGATCGTAAGCAAATTTTTATAATAATAATAATAATATTTGAATTTTTTTTTCTTTTGCTTCTTTTTTTCATATCTATATTCTTGTTATATTAGACGTACATGATCAATTGTTTGAAAGGTATTATATTGCAACGAATGGAATTCCACGAAAATTTTATGTATCTTGCTGTAAAGGATTATAGTTTTTTCAATTTTAATATTGCGATCACCGCACATGACTTAACTTATCGCTCAAAAAAAAAAATAATAAACTTTGAATAAAACTTATAAAATTTCGGAATATTTTATCATTTGGTAATAATAATTTTTATAAATATGATATCGTTTGCAGAATAACCTTTCGTAAATTTATTTTTATTGCGTACGAAAATATCTGATTCAGCTATCTGAAAAAAAAAAACTAATCTTAGGTTCATTTACATAGTATGTATGTTTGTATAGTTAAATTTTACATAGTTTGTATGTTTGTATAGTTATACGAAAAAACTTAGCATAGGTGTTAATGAAAAAAAAACGAAAAGGACCAATTCTTTTCTATTTAAAAATCGATTCAATAATAAAGTGAAGACAAAATCTGGCGTCAACGGACATGATAAAAAAAAATAATAATAATAATAAAATGAACGATATAATCAAACCGAAAAAAAAAGCGTAATTGAAATCATAAGATATAAAACTTACAAAGGTTTGGGAAAAATCTTAAGAAAAAAAAAAAGGTTTACAATGGTTTCTTTAAAAAATTGCGATGCCGTTTGTTATATGAATATATAATAAAAGAAATTTCGAATACGCGAAAAAAAAAATAAAGTGAAATAAAGTTTTTTTTTTTTTTTTGTTCGAAGAAAATTCAACCCCATTAAAACAAATTGAAAACCGGCAATTTGTTAAATTTTTTTTTTTAAAAAAAAAAAAGTTAAAAGAAAAAATTAAACCTCAAAAACTTAAATCTTTATAAATTATTATAAATTGACAATAAGATTACAGTTAAATCCAACAGCAAAGAAAATTTCGGGTTTACTTCTAGGGATCAATAGAGCATCTTCGGAATTCTCAAAGACTTCAGGAACAACAATAATCATAGAATCTTCATCTATATTACTAACATTATGAGTACTCTTAATCAAATGTAACCTAACTTCAAAGAATGAATAAAGTTGTTCTTTAATTTCAGTTTGTTGATCATGACAAAATTTACATCTGAAAATTCTTTTATTACTAAGTCCATTATTAAGAACTGCCTTACTGATCGTTGTCAAATAATCGGAATTATTTTTTAAATGCAAAGCTTCTGCTCGAAGTAGTGGGATATATGTTCCCATAAGAAATTGGTCATCCCAAAGTGTTGATGGATTATTATTCATAAATGGAGGTTTTCGAAAGGAATGACACCACGGAAGAAATTTTATTAATTCAGATTCAAATATCGATTGAGACTGAGAGGTTGAATTTGGGGTTGAACTTGTAGATGACGATTGAGTGTTGTTATTGTTGTTATTTCCATTAGAATAAATATTTCTAATTTCAGTTTCTGGACGTAATAATTCAAAACATATTTTAACAACATCCATTTGTCTAGTTTGTAAAGCTTCATAATAACTAAGACGTCTTTCACTTGCTTGTCGTTGAACTCGATGAGCTGATACGATTTTATCATGCTCGGTAATTAGCTTGTTTCTAAATCCAATCCAAGCACGTTCAGTAAAAGGGTGTGTTGACGAAGACATCATCGCCTTATTATAAACCATACATTGTTCCACAACAGTCATTTTAAATCTTGGAAATCCATATTCATTTTTATCTTTTCTAATTAAATTTTCAATCGATGAAGCTCTTTCCTCTCGCTTTTTCTCGTTACTCTCGGTTTTTGACCAATACGCGTTTTCGTGTTCAATCTCACGTTTTGCAACATCCTCCATTTTTCGATGACCTTCCTTACGTTTTGAAATGAGCCAAGCTTTTCGAGCTTCGATAGGAAGTTGGATGTATTCAGAATATGACTTGTGAACATCTTCAATCCAATAGAGGTTGGCAGGACGATTTTTTGGACTGCGATCCCAACCCCATTTATAATAACTGGTAGTGTGAGTAAGACCACTAAGGATATCATCAGGAATTGAATTTTGAGAAAGAAGATCACGACGGATTTGATCTAATCTGTGATTTATTATTATAAAAAAAAAGAAAAAGAAAAAAGAAAAACAAGAATTTTAGATAATAACAATAATAATATTTATTTATTTATTTAAAATTATAGACACTTTATTTTTTTTTTTTTACCTCATAGTTCTTTCTTCTAAACAAGGTTTACAACATCTTACTAGAAAAGCCCAATAAACTCTTCTTACTCTGGATTTTCCACAAAATTGACATCCGCGTTCAAATAATAATTTTGCGTATTGTCTTTCATCCATTCCTTCAGGTGGAGACATTTCGATTTGTGGAATGAATTTTATTCTTGAATTTCTCCAAATTTCTTGAGTAGTGGTCGAATAAGTTGAACTAAGGTATCCATAGAATTTTTTACAAACACGAGCGAGAGAAAGCAAGTCAGCAGGAGGTAAGTCTTGACAAATATTTATGAATATTTCGGGTGGAACAATTGGAGCGAGGCACGGTTCAACGGTCATGATGATCGTCTTTGGGGAATGAATTTTCTAGGAGATTTTGAAATTTGTTAAAGTCGAGAAAAAAAAAAATGATAGTTCAATTAATAAGTCAATTGATCTATCAACGAAAATATAAACGAAATTTATTTAAGAGTTTCTTAGAACTGAAAGAAACATAGATACTACAGGTAGGCTTTTTTATAAACATTTCGAAAATTACTTAAAATTGAACATTTATTAAGCATTGGAGAGTTAAATCACGTTTGAATAAGATTAATATGTTTGTAATATGTTAGAATATGTTCGAATATATTTCAATATGGTTCAATATGGTTGAATAAGTTTGAATATATTTTGACGTCTGAATAAGAGATAACATAGGAAATGTATATTACATTATTTATTTTTTTTTGTTTGACATGAAACCGATAAAGATAAATTTTTAAAATAAAAGGAACAATAGGAATTAAGTTGTTTTTTTTCTTTATTTTCTTTGAAGAACTATAAAAGTGGAAAAACAACAGAGAATTGACTTTAATAGAAACATTGAATAATAAAGTTATTATCAAAAAGACAATAATAAAATAAATATTTACCTTTATAAATGCTGCGTAAAAGCGATTTTATTAGATTTTCTTCATGGTGGAAAAGATGGACTGATTTGATCAACAAAGATTTCTCCGAATCATACTACTTAATACAATGGAAGAATTTCATCAATTGTCGAGAATCTCAAAAAAATTCATGCTTTTGCAGTTTGTGAACAAAAAAAGAAAGAATATATCGTATTGTTTAACACCTTTTTTGTTTCATTTCTTTGAATCGTGTGCATCAATTTTTTTTTGAAGATCGAAAGTTTCGAACGCCACAAATTATGATGATAATAATAATTATTATTATGTCATGATAAGTATAAGTTTAACTTAAGATAATTAAATAAATAAATAAATATATATATATTTTATACAAAATTGTAGGAATGTTAATTGATACGTTTTTGGCTCGAACGAAGAACTTTTTGACAATTAAAAAATCACGAATTTTTTTTTTTCTTAGTATGCACATATATGATGTAATTATGCGGAAATAATAATAAGTATGATTATAGCATGTATATTAAAAAAAAATCGATTATTAAAATATATAAAATATAGGAATTCGCTCGCATATGTATCAAAAAAAAAAATTGCGCATATACGTTAATGAAATAGCATGCATTAAAACGTGAGCATAAATTACTCTTTATCGAGTACTTCATAAAAAGCAAGCATTAATAAATTTAATTCTTTCCTGGAGATAACAAACAATTAATTTCGGAAGTTAAATTTTTTCTTTTATTTTTTTAAAAAAGCAGATATTATTATAAAACCTTTTCTGGTTTCTTTTTTTTTTTTTTAAAAAAAAAAAAGAAGCTATATTATAGTTAAATCTAGGCATTTAAAAAATATTATTACATTATTACAATAATTATCCTGATTTGACATTTTTATCAACTACTTATTATATGAGAATTTGTTAATTGTCACATGTAACTTCCAATCATTCCAATAATAATAATTATGCATTAAATAAGTGTCATTTCGCGTTTCACTTTATTGAAAAGGGTGAGAATTATTTTATTCCTTTGTTCATTTGTTCCAAATTAATTATATATATCAATTCATTTTAATTTTTTGATTAATTTTATAAAAATGTTTTTGACACTTTTATTTTTTTTTTTATAAGGAATCACATTAACATTTAATTTTTTACATTAGAACAATCCATCTCCCAAAAAATTACTAATATTTTATGATAATGCGTACAATGATTGTAGTGAGATTGTAATAAGATTAAACAAAGCAGAATTCAAATACTAAATTTATAAATTTACTGTAATAATTAATCTATTTTATATTTTATTATTTTATTGCATTGATTGCATTGAATGAGCTTTGTCAAAAAAACAATGATAAATTTAGTGCATAATTGTCTTTAAATTTGGCGCGATAATACAATTACTTGACATTATTTCTTTTTATATCATTTTTGTGGAGAACTGTAAATCACCCAAGACAATGCAGACAATGCACCCAAAAGTGGGTAACAAAACACAAAGTTGTTCTTTATCTTTTTTGAAAAGTTTAATTATTCGGATTTCTCAATATTGTGGTTCACTACTTTTCTTTCGATTTTAATCATTTTAGGATAATTTTTTATTATTCATGCTTTGGCTTGCATCTTCTTTCTTTTCTTACATAATATTTAATGAATAAGTTCTGTTTTGGTGAATTTTTCTTTAAAACACTTTAACACATTTCTCCATTGATTTTTTTTTGATTTCGCCTTGGTCTTCTCTTGGCAATTTAAATATTTCGTCAATTCTAATAATCTTGAAACAATTTCAACAGTAACGGAATAAAGATCTTCGATACGGACCAATCATATTTACCCGAATAGTATAATATAGAAAATGATAATAATAGATTAGCATTCATCAATTTTTCACACGATGCAAGTCACTCGCACTTTATTTAACGCTGCTCAAAAGGTTTGCTAATTAAGAGTCTTTATAAAATTTTCATATCACTAGAGTAATTATTCGTAATGTCCAAAGGCAACAACAGGACTTTTCGGATTAGCAGTTCATCCGAATCCAAAATCTCATCTAATCAAAACTTATCGACGAACTTTGGAAACTTTAACACAAATCCCCCCAACAGCTGTTTATCGTCAAGCTACTGAAGCATTGACACAACATCGTCTTTCTATTATAGAATCATCGGATAATATTAAGGAAATTGAAAATAGGATTGGTGCTGGAATAATTGAAGAAATTATTTGGCAGGCTGAAGATGAACTTAAATTGATAGCTAAGGTTAAAGAATGGAAGATGTAAGTTTTAAAAAAGTTTATTATATTTAATTTTTATTATTCAATTATTTAATTTAATTTTTTATTATTATTATTTAATTATTAATTAAATTTTTTATTATTTAATATTATTTAATTTAAAATCTTTTAGATGGGAACCACTTGAAGAACTACCACCTCCAGGACAATGGGAATATGAGAAAAATGAGAAATAAAAACAAAATAATTTATTTATTTAGTAATAATAATAATAATTAATCTTTTTGGTTTGATTTCTAAAAAATAATTGTGAAAAATTAAAAATTATTATATAAAAAATTGTTAAAAGTTATGAAATTGATGTATGGTGTTGTGTTCAAATTTATAATTTCCTTTTGAATTTTAATAATTTTTTCATTCTCGACAATTAATGTAATTGTTCACGCGCTGACCAATAAAATTTTGCCAGATGTCAAATCATACAACGAATTTATTTACCTTTTTTTTTTCGAAAAAATCCTTACCCGCATTTTATGCATTTTATTCTAAAAGTTTAAAATAATAATAATAATGATATATACACGAAAACCAATTGATATATTGAGACAAGTTTCAAATGTTAAAAGTAATAAAAGCATATTATCGGTGTTAATTATTTTATCATTATGTTCTTTGATATATGCTACTACTGAAGAATTCATAGAAATACCACGTGGTGTTCCAAAGTCCAGTAAGGAATTTAGTAATTAATTATTTTAAATCAATTTTTATATATTTATAAATATGTATTAATCTATCTCTATCTCTCATTTTATTATTCATTTTATTATTCTTTTTTTTTTTAAAAAAAAAAAAATATTATCAAATCAAAGAGGCATCTCTTTACGAACGTAAAGGACCAAATTGGACTTGTTTAGATGGTTCAGGTTTTATACCTTATGAAGCCATTAATGATGAATATTGTGATTGTGCTGATGGATCCGATGAACCAGGAACATCAGCATGTCCGAATAGTAAATTTTATTGTAAAAATATAGGACATATTCCAGCGTACATATCTTCTAGTCGAGTAAATGATGGGGTTTGTGGTAAATGATCTTGATTTTCGCTCGCTCGCTTTTTTTTTTTCTGATCTTCTAGGTAGATAGATAGATAGATAGATAGATAGATAGATAGATAGATAGATAGATAGAGAGAGAGATATATGAATTAAATCAAATAATATTATAATATTTTTTTTAATAGATCCTGAATGTTGTGATGGATCAGATGAATATGATGGTAAAATAAATTGTCCAAATAAATGCGAAGAATTTGGAGCGGAATATCGTAAACATCTTAAGGAAATGGAAATTTTAAGAGCACAAGTATGTTCTTTTTTTGATGTTTTTATATTTAAATTTTTGATTTATGAATATAAAAAATTAAAAACTTGAAAATTTAAATTAATAAACTTAAAATTTATGATTAGGGAGCAGATAAAAAACAAGAATATATTAAATATGGACAAAAGTTAAAAATTGAGTTACTAAATAGTTTAGACTTTGCAATTGTGGATCTTAATGCAGCAAAAATTAAATGTGCAGATCGAGAAGGTGAGTTTTATAGTCAAAGTTGTTTATTTATTAATAATAATAATTTTGTTCTATTATTAAAATTTATGTTAAAAATTTGTCAGCTGAATTGAAAAAATTGGAGCATTTAGAAAAAATCAAATCCGAATCCTCACCCATACCTGTTAAAGGTGCGATCTCAAAAAATTATTGTTTTTTTTTCATTAAAATCTAAAAATTTTTAAAAATTAAAAAAAATCCCAATATAGAATATAATGAACGAATGAAGAAATATCGAGTAAAAATCAAAGGTTTAAAGGATCAAATTAATGTACTTCAAGGAAATGTGGACGCGTTGTCAAAAATTCTTCAAGATTTGAAAAATGGTCACAATCAAAATGAGAATGATATAACAATAGTAAAATCAGCAATTACCGCTTATGATGAATTCTTAGATAATAATAAAGGTTTAGAAGATTTTAATGTACAGGATAATGAAGAGGATGAAAAAGAGGATGAAATATTAATGGGTGACCATAAAGTTCCGCCAGTACATGTTCCTGGTATGTATTCTTTTTTTTTTCTAACAAAAATAATACATAAATAATATATACATAGATAATTTATAATTCTAAATATAATAAAATATTATATGTATGCAAATAGAACCTTTGTCTTTTTATCAAGAAATAAAGAAAACAATTGTCGATATGGTTTATGGATTTTTGGGTTTGGAAAGTAATGAAAGTCAAGATCGCAGTGACGAATCCGAAACTTCTAGAGGTAATTTTTTTAATAATTTTAGAAATAAGGTTTTGTTAATATATTTTATTTTGGATATTTTTATTTTATTCATTCTTTTCTTGTCTAAATATTTTAGAATTACAGCATGCTATTAATGCAAAGGAAAAAGCCGAAAAAGATAGAAAAGAGTTAGAGAATAAGATAAATGATTTAAAAATTAAATTATCAAAAGATCATGGAAAACAAGATGAATTTGCAAAATTGGATGGTGAATGTTTTGAATATGATTCAGGAGAGTAAGTAATAATACTTAAATTTTTTTTCTTTTGAATGTATATTTCAATGTACCATTTCTTTTTTTTATTTACTTGATTATTTTTATTTACTTGATTATTTTCATTTACTTGATTATTTTCATTTACTTGATTATTTTTGTTCTAACAAATTCTTTTATGAAAATTTCAAATTTCAGATATACTTATTCAATATGTATGTTTGGTGCAGCAACACAAAAAAGCAATAAAGATCATTCATCAACTCATCTGGGGTATGATTATATAAATTTTAAATTCATTAATTATGCTTAATTATGCAATGTATTACATTTTTATAATTTTAATTTAATTTAATTTAATTTATTTTTAATTTATTTCTAATTTATTTATTTAAATAGCAATTTTCAAAAATGGTCAGGTGCACAATCAGAATCTGATCCAGGTTATTATACACAACAAATATATGCGAATGGACTTAGATGTTGGAATGGTCCAGAAAGATCTGTAAAGGTATGTTAAATATATTAATTATATTATTATTTTTATTATATAATTGTTCTATGAAACAAGGTTTATATATATATATATATATATATATTATTTATTATTCTAATATATATATATATTTAGTTAAATCTGGAATGTGGAATAGAAAATGAAATTATATCAGTTGTAGAACCAGAAAAATGTGAATATCACTTAAAAATGAAGACACCTGCTGTTTGTCCTGATAATCCTTTTATAGATAGTAATAAACATGATGAATTATAATTTCATTATTTTAGTGTAGTATTATGTTTTCTGATATATATTTTTTTGAAGTTTAGATAAAAAATTATAAAAATTGAACATTTTCTCCAGTTTTTTTTTTATTTTATTTTATTTTATTTCTGGATTACCAAAAACTTCATATCTATCTTTAAATATTTAAAGAAAAAAAAAAAGTAATTTATTTATTTTGATTTACATAGATTTGATTTGTTCTTTTATTTTTTTTTTTTATTAATCATTAATTTTATTAAACGAGATCTACAAATTGCATAACTGGTTGGTACTTTTAAATCAAACAAAATATAAAGTATTTCACCACCACCGTATATTTATTAATTCAATAATCTCAGGTTCACTATTGTTCACTATTGAAGGCATAAAGGCACAAACAAGTAAAGGAATTGAAATTTCTTGTAAATATTATATTAACATAATTATTTATATTTTAATATTTCTAAATAAAAAATATGTGCTTTATTAATTATAATAATATGGAATACATTTGTATTTATATACATACACAAAAACTGATATAAATAAAATCTAAATAAATAAAATAAAATAATAAAAAATTCTAAATCAAATAAATCCAATTCTTGAAAGTGAATAAAAAAAATTACGACAATATTATTATTATTATGAAAATAGTTGAGAATTTCGTAGGGCTGGAACAGGGGGTGCTTCTTCACGACGAACTATTGATTCCTTAGTTATAGCGGCCATCCTCTTGGCTCTTTCTTCCATTTGTTGTTTCAAAAATCCTTTCGTTCCCGCTCGCATCCTCAAAATTCGAAGTATTAATTCTCCATTATTATTGTTATTATTGTGTTTACGTTTTTCGGTTTTACGTTTTTTGATTGTACCAAGATTTCGTTGATTCAAAACTGATTTATTTAATCCTTTTGGTTCTTTCTTGGGTAAAGCATTAATTTCCTTTTGCATATTGAGATATTTTTCAATAAGAGTTTCAGTTTTAACATCATAAAACTCTCGAATTTGTTTAATTTCATGATATTTTGGACTTTCTATTTCATCTTTTGACATGCCATTTCCATCCGCATAGAGATATGATTTCAAAAACTTTGATAAAGATAAGAAAATAATTTTAGTATGATAAATTCCATATATACATATTATTATGATTATTAAACAATCGAGTAACATCAGATAATTGAATTGAATTGAATTGAATTTTACCGAAAGCCATTTATAAACAACATCAAGTTCCTCATCGGTGAGTGGTTTCAGGTCGGATGGACGTTCTGATAAAGGTGGTACCATGAGTGCTTCAATCATAGACAATATATCCTTCCAAATTCGAGTCGTAACCATTTGAAATACTACAGGATGTAAATAATTATTAAGAGTCGATAAATTTTTATCGAAATAATCAAATATAGGATCTATTGCTTTTTCTATATCTCGATCAGTGAGTTTATTTTGTTCCTTGAAAATTTTTGTTATGGATTTTGAAACTAACGGCTTGATAACATCTCTTGATAAACATCGTTTCAAAAATGGTGACATCTATTCATTAAATATAATATATATAATAAAAAGATATATAAATATTTATAAAAAAAAAAAAATAAATAAATAAACAAATAATGGAATCAATTAAAAATAATAACACAAGATAATTTATATTTAAATCGAAAGAAATGAAATTGTTTACCCTATCAACTATAGTTCTAGCCATATCATCATGTGAACGTTTGAGAGTTCTGAAGGCTTTACCGAAATAAAATTGAATAATATCCCTTTCACCTTCCATACTTATTCTCAATAAAACACGACCTTGAGTATCAAGATCAACCCAAACTTCATGAGCCAAATAATCATTGAAACGATTAAGATCCAAAACAAAGGTACCCTTTCCACAAACATCATCGGAACCAACTTGATCTCTATCCAAAATAATGGCACTTAATTGTCTAAAAGGTTCAGATATGGTAATATCAAAAGCCTCTTCCCATCTTGGATTTAAAGTTTCATATATAACACGAGTTTGAACCAAACGATTTCCCAATTCATCTGCCAAAACACAATAAGGATCACTATAACCATTATTATCTAATGCTGACAAGTTTTCAGCCAGTACAATTTTAATCGTATATAAATAATTATCTTGTTTTTGATTGTCATGAACATCTTTTTCATATTCGCTAATAACTTCTGTTAATCTGTCAACTTCCATCGTCTCATATAATTTATCTAATTGTTCTCTCGCTGCTTCAATATTATTTAATTTTATACAAGTCTGAAATCATATGAAAAATAATATATATATATATATTATAGAGTAAATAAAATAGTATTTAAAAATTTTACTTGATACAGATAAAAATTAGAATTTATTCATTACCGTAGGTTTAAAATCAAAAGTAAGAGCTTTTTCTGAAGTTTTGGCTCTTATGTACCAGGCAGATTGTTTTGCAGCTCCTTGTTCTTTTTCTTCCACAGGAAACATATCTTTCATAAAAAGATCTTCGATTTCATCACAATATTGATCCAAGGCTTTACTAACAGTCTGAAATTATTATCCATATTTATTTATTGTTTTTTTAGTAATTAATTAAATTAATTTATACTTAATAATTGGGAAACTTACCTTCGACAAACTAGTCATAAATTTTGCGTATTGATATTCGTTTGGCCAATCAAGTTTTTTAATGAAATCAATGGTTTGATTAGATGAAGTAAAAAGATCCACTACCGAGGATGAATGTTTATCTGTTCCGCTTACAGCTTTGAACTATCAATATCATCACGTATATATAGATTAATAATTAAAAAAAAAAAAATAACCCCTCCCCCATATTCTGAATATGTTCTGAAGCAAACCTCGTCCATACAGATCGCTGTTTGTACCCATTCTGGTGTTTTACTATCCGTAGCTTCTAACCACATTTTGACATGAGGTTCAAACCAATTTTCTATACTTAATGAAAATTCGCACCTATATATATATAATAACATATTGTTAATTGACATCCCCCTCGTTAGTAGTAATTAGTAAAAAATAATATTATTATTTAACACAAATTACCCAGTATTACGACTTTCGTATATTTCTTTTAATTCAGAAACTTCTCTGTAAAGCTCAAAAATATCATCAACTGGAATTCCTTCTTCCGATGTCATTCTAACTTTTCCAGCAATATCTTGTGTAGTATTTTCCATTTCCAATGTGAAAAGTGGCACTTGCTTTTCTACTACTAGGCATACAACATTTATTTGTCTATTTAAAATTTTTTAAAAAAAGGTGATAAGGAAGAAAAATTGAATAAATAGTTAACGTAAACGTAAGATAACACGCAAAAGAAAAATAAAAAGAAATAAAATATTAACCCTATTAAAGGTCTTGGGAATTTTTTGGTTAATTTTTCTGTCTCTTGTTGAATCCATCTAGCTAAAGTGATTAATTTAACCACTTCATTATTGTCCTCTTGAGAATAAATTTGTTCTCTCTTTACAAGATATACTTCAACTGCAACTTTCTTTAGATTGGGTTTCAAATATATGGATAGATAGATAGATATATAATAATAATAATAATAATAATAATAATAAAATTTAATTTTAATTAAATTTAAAATAATTTAATAATATGTAAAGGTAATTTAAATTGAGTTATATAAAATAAAGTAATCAAATGAACCTACTTTAACAATTCCTTGAAGATTATTGTAAAAAGGAGTAATATCCGGATATGTCGCTTGAAATAATTCAGATTCATAAATGAGATATAATATTGAAATCATGGGATCAAATGCATCAGCCTTGATTTTAAATAGATGTTCAAGTGCTTCAGCCATAAGTTTTAGCAAAGAATCGTGAATCCCTGAAAACACTTCAACAAGTTCTCTTCGCTGTATATATATAGATATATATACATATATGAATAATATGAAGAAAGAAGAAAGAGAAAGAAAGTAAAGATTTATTATTTATTATTTATTATTTATTTTACTTTACTTACTTTTTTATGAGATTAATAAGATTTAAATGAGAAAATAAAGAAATAAAGAAAATCAACGAACATCATTAATAGTCCAAGTAGATACATCCCGTAATTTAGTAGCATCCTTTAATAGATGCATTCCTTCTCTTATGTGATCTAAAGTAATTGCAGGATGTTCATTATCGAAATGATTCTTCAAAGCATCCAAATATTGCAACCATCGAAATCCGGGTGATACTCTCCATCGAAGAGCGCATTCGTTAAGTAATTCTATTACACTTTTAGATAAAATTTTGACGGAATGTTCACTGGGTGATCCAGTAAGTAATTCATATTCTATACATTTATTCATAAGTAACTTGTAAAATCTTCGAGGATTTGATGGAATAAAGACAAAAGAACCTCCGTCATTACTTGACTATATTAAAACATAATTTAAATTAGTTAGTTAATCTAATAATATTTTTAATAATAAAAAAAATAAAATAAAATAAAAATAATAAAAATAACAATAAAATAAAAATAATAATAAAATAAAATAAAATAAAATAAAAATAATAAAAAATAAAAATAAAATAAAATAAAAATAAAATAAAATAAAATAAAATAAAATACCTCAACTAATGTAGAACTAGGATTATAAACTACTTGTCGAGTATTATTATGAGGTGGTTGTTGTGGTGGTGGTTGTGGATAAGTTTGTTGTGGATAATTTTGTTGTGGATAATTTTGTTGTGGATAATTTTGTTGTGGATAATTTTGTTGTGGATAATTTTGTTGTGATGAAGGTGGAGGTCTATTATAATTAACGGGAGGATATTGTGGTTGTGATGAATTATTGGAATATTGATGTTGTGATGGATTATTATTGGAATATTGTGGTCGTGATGGATTATTATTATTGGAATATTGTTGTCGTGGTGGATTATTGTAATGTTGATGTGGTTGTGATGGATTATTATAATATGGTTGTTGTTGATGAGGATGTTGTTGATGAGGATGTACAGAATCTCGTTTTTTACTTTGTAAGTATGAATCAAACGCACCGTCTTGTGCGATGGAATCTTTTATGGGATTTCCTACTTTTATTCCAGGAAATAAAATTATAATAGTAGTCATAAGTTCATTAAGTGTTTTTAATTCAATAGCTTTCCAATTATTATAAACTTCTTCAGTTTCGAAATCTTCCTTGCGTGCAGGAAAGGCTGATCCAAGATTTATATGATTTATGATATTTCGTAAATCTGCTAGTGAAGCCTTTAATGAAATTAATTGAAATTAAATATAAAAATATAAATATAAATATAAAATATAAATATAAAATAAAAATATAAATATAAATTAGTTTATTTAATAATTATAATTTAATGATAATAATTATAATTATTATTATTATTAGAATTTACTCACCTCAGGTGTGCATTCTTTCTTTATTGCAATAATATCTTTTTGAATTTGATTGGTAGGGATTTGGAAAATATTTTGAACCAATTTTACCATTTTCATGTCATCGATACCATTACTTGTTCCTCCATTATTTGGATGATGTCCTGCTCCGTTTGATGGAAATGTTTCAAGTCTCGCCAATAATTCAGGTGTAGAAGCTGAAATACAATCTTTAGATTGAAGAGTTTCTTTCAATATTTCAATGAAATAACTAACATGATCTGTTAATTTGGCTTGCCATGTAACATTTTGTGGCATTGGTGCTGTTTTAAGTTCATTTTGTGCGATTCTAACATATAAAAGTACAACTTCCTCTATTTTGCCTGATTTTATTTGTTGAATTTGTTGCCGAAATGATTGCTGCAATAATGATCGATGAAGAATTGATATATCTTTTCGAAAATAAGGATCATTATAAGTCGGATTTGGATCCCGTCCATTAACAATTGTTTCAAGTCTTTCTCTCAATGCTTTTGATAATTCTTTAGGAATTTTTAGGCTTTTTTTACTTTCAAACAAGCTAGTTATTAAATCAGGATTTAATAAAGATTGACTATGACGTTTTTTCTGCTCTTCATTTTTTATCGCTACAAGTTGTGGACTGGGAGCGAAAGTCTGTGGTTTAGGTGGTGGTGGTTTAGGTTGAGTTAAATAAGCCAAATATGCAATCCGTAATGCATATTGGTATGTTGAATCTTCAGTAACATTTGAAGAACCTGGTTCACTTATTCGTTTATTTGAACCGGCACTAATCCTTCGAACTGAAGACTGCCCACTCATTTTTCTATTATTATTCTTTAGTTAAATTAAAATTGAAAAAATTTCTCAAGAATATAAATTAAACAATTTATTTTTATTTAGGTTATACAGATGTTGATTTTTTTCCATTTACAATGATTTTATTAAACTAAACAAGGTTAGAATAATTTTAAGCTGTGCGACTTAAATTGTAAAGCTTTAATACAACTTTATAAATAGAAATATTATTGTGCCACAAATTTTTTCATTGTAAAATTGTCTTTATTTTAACAAATAATTAAAATAATTAAAAGTTGGCCAATAACATTTTACACACTTTTTTCCAAATTTAGAATCTATTAATTCTTTCTTTATTATTTGAATGGCTTGGATAAGACAGTGTTCAAGGCTATTTGGTATATAAAATCATCATATGATAAGGTAGTTTGCCAACACTGGGATAAGAAAATTGTCCTTTGAAAAATAATATCGTTTATTCTTACTACCTTCAAAGCCCAAATAATCTTCTTTTTAATAGATAAATATGTTTATATCTCATATATTTGTGTTTCAATAGATAGATTATCATAATCTATATTCTAATAGAACCAAGTTAATTACTTATTTTTTTTTTTTTTTAAAAAAAAAAAAATAACCTTAAGAAAATAAAGATATACTTACGCGGTACCACGCTCTAGATTCTCTCTGATCTCTCTAGTATATTTGTCAAAGAATCTATTGACCTTTCCATTGAATTTTCTATTACGTTCATTAACATAGGTAACATTATTTGAATCCTCGTCAATTGATTTTTTTCGTGAATATTTCTCTCGCCTTTCAATTCTAATATTTTTATTAAGAAATAATTTATGAATGGAAGTTTATTATGTGCATAATAATATGGCTTAACATGTTTAATATGTTTAATATGTGTGTGCTTAACTGTTTATAAACATCATCCACTAATCGATCCACGGCTTTATCACTCGGTTGGTTATCGATACTCGCAAAATGCAGTGAATTTGCGTCTCGATAGAAACTAGAATTTATATCAGCAAGAACTTTCTCTCCATTTTCTATTTTTATCACTTTGGCTGAATTTAAAGCATTTAATTTCTGTCTGTTGTGTTCTTCCAAGTCTGGTGTAAGTTCACTGACAAGTCGTTTATATTTTTTACGCGCCGTTTGATTATAATCTATTTAATTGAATTGTTTAAAAAAATTTATATGAGATTTTTTTTACGTGAATTCAGATCAGTTAATCAAAAAGTTTTTTACCTGTAAAAGAATTTTCTTTCCTTTTGTCTACCTTTTCTTGCTTTTTTTCCCAATTCTCTACTGATTCAATCGAATAATTCCAATACTTTTTTCGTTCATAGTCTTCGCCTCTTTCTTCAGCTTCCTATTATTAAAAAATTAAAAAATAAATCAAACAAAAAACGTTATAAAAAAAAAATGATAATATATATTTTACACACGTTAACTCATTTTTTTCAATTACCTTTTGAGCTAATAGCTTTGTTGCTATTTTGCTTTTACGTTCTGAGCACACTTCAGCTCGTTGGTTAATACGTTTACTTTGTTTTTCGGCATAAATTTCTTGACGGTTTGCTTGAGAAGCCTCGTCCTATAGAAATTTTTTGAAAGTTTTTTTTTTTTTTAATATCAAAGAAAGAATTCAAATAATAGTATTTAGTATTTTAATAATGCAATACCAATCGTTTTCTCAAAACTTGCAAACGGTCAATTCGACTTTTGACTTCTCCAATACGTGAAGTCGTACTCTCAGTTTCAAGGGAATCACTCATATTATTATATATTAATTCAAACACAAACGACGTGAAAGGGATAAGAGTAAATTTTAGAGACGTGAGACGTTGATCAAGTGATATAAAATGTGACATCTAAGGCTAATTAAGTTAAATAATTATTTATCATCATCAAAGATTAATTCGTATAATCATTAGCGTAAATGAAATCCATGCAATTTTCGAGACATTTCAAATTCTCTTCCATCATCACGAATTCATATTTAGGAGAATAATATATACATCAAATAATTTAATTGTTCAACGTGCAGGTGATGATGACACAATTTCGTTTTGATGTAATTTTTGCTGTTTTGTTTGGCTACATAATTGGTTCATAATTCTTCAAAATTGTGTAAATAGAATTTGCAGTTAAAAAAACATAAATAAATATTTACAGTTCAAACAACTCTTCTCCTAAGAAGAAAACAGTCCAAAACAACAAAAAGCAAAAATTTACTATGCCAGACCTCCAAAATAAATTAAAGATCTCCAAAGACAAGTACTCAAACTATATATGTTCCCAAAATTGATTTCTGATTTTTGAGGTATTTCATCTTTTTGAGATTTTCTCAGGATCTATTCTCTATATGGAAGTAAAAAAAAAAATATCTAGTTAAGTGTATCTTTAATCAAGGAATTTATCTAGGTAATCAAAAAATTTCAGGTTTTAAGTAAAATAATTTCATCTTCTGTGAAAAACTATTTGACTTTTTTTTTTCAAAATTGCAATTTCAGGACCCAGAATAATTTTGTGTGCAAGTATAACTCAAACCATGAAATTATCAAAACATTAGTTCATGTTTAAATTACAAATGCAAGGGTTTTCAAATCTTGTTGGAACAAGTTTACAAAGGAAAGCTCAAAGGTTGTTATTCACAAAGACAGGCTCTGTCATTATGGACTTGAACTCATTAAATACATCTTCAAAATTCTCAGTCAAAGTGTTAAAAAACAAGAAACAACAAAAGAACTTGCAGATGATTTCTTTACAATCTGTGACTACTTTATAGTAAAAAATAATAGAATACATTTAGTAAAAGCAAATCCAAGAAAATGAAACAAAAGATGATAAGTAAAGAAGAAAAAAAAGAACTTGCAAAAAAAATAAAATTCTTTCTAACTCAAAAGCAGAGAGAAACTATTGGTTGAATGACAGAAAATTGGCAAATTTTTTGGCACAAATAGACAGAAAACAGGTAGATATATATATATACAAAAAGATTTGAGGTAAATTCAAGAATAGGCAAATAGATACATAGTACAGACAGGCTAATTTTGTAGCCAATTTATACTAAAAATTTGTCAATTTTTGATTATTTGACATGTGAACTTTGATGAAATGGTTTGTAATAACAAGATGAACTTATAACCAAGTATTACACTAGTTTAATGAAAAAAGATAGGCAAAATTTTGCTACAAATAGGCAAGGTGATTTGTGAATAAGCAGAAAGATTTGTGAATAATAAGCAAATAAACTAAGCTAATTTGTACCAAAAATTTTATCAATTTTTAATCATTCAAAATGTGTTATCAGCTATAGAAAAGGAAAGAATTTCTCAAAACAAACCTTAAAAGCTAAGTGCCTAAATCCTGAAATTTTTCAAAGTGAATTTTGAAGATACATATCTTATAGTATTCAAAATGAAGAAATAAATGATTTACTTAAAGCTTATAAAACTAACTTTGCTGTACAAAAGAAAAGATTCAAGATTAATTATTAAAGTAAAAAATTTTGAATCAATTGCCATTTATTCTAAATATTGGAAAAAAAGCTAAAGTCTTTTATCCAAAAATATTAATACAGAATCTATTTAAGGTACTATTCAAAAATTTAAAAAATATCACATCTATCAGGTAATAGATAAGTGACAGATAGGTGTAGTAGTTGTACTGAAATTTGGACAATTATTGGATATTCAATATATGTGAAAAAGATTTTTATCATATATCAGGTATCTGATAAGTGTGAAAAACTTTTTTTGTCATGTCTGATATGTGCCAAATTTCAGCACAACTAGTGATATTGTTGTAAATCAAAAAAGTGACATAAACAATTATGACATATGGCACAATTGATTTTGATATATGGTACAATTAGTTGCAACTGGTTGCAACTCCTGTAAATAATCATAACAGGTATCTTAAGCACAACTATTATACTTATCAGGTAGCTGATAGATGTAGTATTTGTAAATTTTGGCCAGTGAGAGGCAGAGCTGTTACCAAACAAATTTAATTATAATTGTTGTTTCCAAAAAACAAGATTAGGAGATTTTATCTCTGTATTCTTATGCCACTTGAAATTAGAAGTGTTCCTAAGTAAACAGGAATTGAAGAAGGAATACTTGCAATAGATTCAGGAGTTAGAACATTTTCAATTGGCTATTCTTCTTCAGAATTAGTAGTTGAATAGGGAAAGAATGATATTGGAAAAATTTGTTATCTTTGTAATGCCCTTGACAAGTTACAAAGTAAATGGTTCCAAAAAGAAACTTGATATAAAAATGATACAGGATGAAAAAAGAGAACAAAAAATTTTTTTGAAATCTTGTTGATGAAGTACACAAGAAATTCACTAAGTGAATTGTTGAATTCAAGATTATAGGTGCAAACTTATGTCTTCTTCAAAGTTGTCATTACATCACATCAAATATTTTTATATGTCTTAACTAGTTACATCAGTAAAGTCTGCACCTATATTCAAGATACAAATAATGGTAAAATCAATCAATAGATGAATAAGAAGTAGGATAGAAAGAGCAATGCTTGGATGGTCTTATTATTATTTCACACAATGTTTGATCAACAAGACAAGAGAATATCCTTGATATAAAGTTGTAATTTGTAATAAACATTATATTTCAAAGATCTGTATATCTTTCATCAAAAATTGGGATCAAATAAACTTAATGTTTAATAGAAATGGATAAAGACATTAAATACAAAAGAATTGCCGTACCGAAAAGGAATTCCGATTTTAGCTGATTTATAATATACGATGTTATAATATAGGAATTACCATTCTGTACAGCAATTCTTTTGTATTTGACTAGTGACAGCGAGAAATATCTTTTCTTTAATACTTAATTCTTAATATGAACCAAATTTTTTCAATTTGGTGTTGGCCCCCCCCCCCTTCCATCTAGGACTTGAATAAAGGTGATCAATTTTTGATCTCCTTTGGACAAGTTTAATTGTGAGCGATGGAATTACAATTATCAAGGGAACGATATATGCTCCCTTCAATTATAAAAAAAAAAAATGCTGTCATAAGTATTTACTCAAAAATGGATATTTATTTTAAAGGTTATAATAATTATATGTTAAATACGATTTTCAATTAATAAATGTGATATCCAAATATGTAACCAAAGCATCTTTTTTAAAAGGTGCATAATATGATATCAATATCATAAATTTCATAAATATAAAATAATATCCATCTTTTTAATTTTTTCGCCAAATTTTTCACCAAAGTTTTCTTATTAGGTTTAATTCTAGAAACTTTAATAATAAATTTTTCATCTTTAATATGTATCTTATTTATTGGAGTTCTCGGTAATTCCGATAATTCCGATAAGTTTAATGAATCTAATAAATTTGAAGAAGAATCTAATAAATTTGAAGAATCTAATAACTTTGATGATGATGATGATGACGATAACGACTTTAATGGATCTGATAATGTGGTTAATACTTCTTCAGGTAAAATCACAATTCTATAAATACATTTTTTATCTTTAGGGTATATGAAGTTTCCAAAACAATTAATCAAATAATTAAAGAATTTATATGGTGATGAGGTAATGTTTTGATTTTGTATTTGAATTTGGTTTTGTAATTTTATTCTTTCAATTATTGGAGGGGATAATATCATATCATTAAGTGAAATGTTAATGTTATTATTACCTTGATCATCATCATCATTAATACTTGGAATAATGAAAAATATTATGATAAGCAAAGTGATATGATAGATATTATTGTAATTGTTAATCTTTGATGGATACTTTTATTTCTGTTCATCCCTTTTTTAATACAACTCTATGCAATGACCTTGTGAATTTAATCTATTCGTTTTTATAATTTTTTTCCCACTGTGAATAATAATAATAATAATATATAATACGCTTTAATAACAATAAATGTTATATAAAATTGATATAAATCATGTGATTTTGAACGAATTGTCCTCGATATTTAATTTAATTAAAATACATATTTTTACCCCTACATTTGAACAAATATTATCTATTCACCAAACGGGAGGGAGGGAGTGAATATGTGATCTTTGATGATAATAAATTAATAATAAAAAATAAATAATTACTAATCAACATTTTTTTTTGATGAATAATAGATAAAATAATAAATTAATTACTAATCACATCTGTAAATTTCTAAAAAAAAAAAAAAAAAATCAAATCCATCCATAATTAGAAAAAGTGGAAATATTACCTCCTTTGTTTATTCTAGTTTATTTAATATATTTCCATCTTTAGGGACGCCTTAAGATTCGTGAACTTTGATAATATTAATAATAATGATATTATTAAGATTGAACATTCGATGATATTAATAATAGTCATATTATTATAATTTAAAAAATAAAAAATAATTTAAATATTATATTTATTTAACAATTTTATGTATTTTATATAGAGTCGATATCTTATCATGAAAAGAACTTTTTTTTCCTTGTATATAAAATCTTAACAATAAATTATTGTGTACGTGAGTGTGAGAGAAAAAGAGAGAAAAATAGAGAAAAAGAAAGAGAGAGTTGAAAAAATTTGTATTACGCAACTGAAATGAATCTATCTACATATTCAAGTATGCTTAAAGATTATCTTAAATTCGATGAAATAATATATTCGAAATGTTAAATAAGTAAAATTAAATGATCTTATTTTAATAACCACAAGAATGCAAGACGTATTAAACCAGAAAAGAAGTTTGACCTAAAAACTAAAAAATCGTATCATACTAAAAATTACATATGTTGAAGAAAGAAAATCGAATTTAGGAATTTCGAAAAAAAGAATTGTATCAATTTTTTACAATATAGATGTGTATTTTATATTTAAATAGATAAATAAATATATATACTAAATATATATAAACGAAAAAAGAAAAAAAAAATTTTACAAAAGAAAAAAAAAAAAAAAAAAAAAAAAAAAAAAAACCGAAATTATTCCTAGTTCATCTCAACGCGTGTTGGGCTGGAGAATATATAATTAAAAACGATAATGAATTAATTATTGTCTATTTGTTCAGATTTTTCGGCGTCTGATTCGCCGGGAGTAGGAATTGAAGTTAGTGATGAATTATTATTATTAATACCATCATCACCATCATCATCATTATTGTTATTATTGTTGTTTTTAACATTAGTAGTATTGGTAGTAGTATTGGTAGTAGTATTGGTAGCAGTATTGGTAATAGTGTTGGTAGTAGTGTTGATAGTAGTGTTGGCAGTGGTTTCGGTAGAAGAGGATGATGGTGTTGGTGATTGTGGTTGAGTAGGTGATTGTTGTTGTAATTGTTGTGATTGTTGAAATTGTTGTTGCAATTGTGTCAACGCACGTTTTCGTGTCATTTTTGCAAAATCTACAAATATATATATATATATATTTATAAAAGCATTTATAATAAAATTAATGAAAAATTATCAATTTTATCAAATACTTACGAAGTCCACACGCATTACATAACGTTCTTGCTCCATCGGGACCTCTTCGCCATTCAGGAGTTTCAGATATATTACAAGAATGACATCTACCCGGAGGTGCAGCTCGCTTCTAATAATGGTAAAGTAATTTGTTTAATATATATTAATGATATACAATATATATTTATTATCTTTATTATTATTATTATTATTATTATAATATAAAACTTACGCTTCTTTTTCTGTATTTTGTACGTTGCTGCATGTTACTCGAGCGTTTTCGTGATAAATCTAATTCTTCATCTTGTGAATTCTAATGATAAAAAAAAAATAAATACTCAAAAGTTAAAAAAAATACATAATTCATTTTTTTTTAACAGGTACAAAATAAATAATAATAATAATAATAATAATAATAATAAAAAGTAATTATACCTCATTGGTTGCTGCTTGTGAGGTTAATTCCCCTTTAAGACCAGATAAAATATTGAGAACATCATATGTCCGATTTATCATGCTTGTTAATTCAGTTTCATTAATTTGCCAAGAATTTGAAGACATTCGTGCTTCACGATATTGAAATACGAATTGAGAAATTTGATTACAATGATCAATAACCTAAATTTAGAAATGAATTAATTGATTTTTAATAATAATCATTAAATTTTTGATTTAAAAATAATAATCATAATAATTATAATAATAATAATAATACCTTTGTCATCTTGGTTAAAGGTTGTTCAGTAGTTTGAACATAAGGTGATTCTATGTTACTCCTACCTCCATAATGAGATGGAAGATGATCAGATAAAGAATAATTGGATCCACTATGTTGTGATGTAGGTGAAGAAATTTGAGATCTCCCACTTTCATATAAATAAGGTGGAGGATGTGGATGTGGATGTGGATGTAGATGCGAATGTGGATGTGGACGCGAATATGGATGTGGATTTGATTGTTGATAAGGTTGTTGATGTTGTTTTGAAATTGTTCGGTCAGTTGATGAGTAAGGTGACGGCGGCGGCGGTATCCCATCGACTTGAGGCCACATTGAAAATTGGGAATTATTATTGTTATTATTATTATGGTGACGAGATATTCTTGGTTCGGAATAATTTTGATAATGATGATGTTGATAATTATTTTCAACTTGATTTAAAGTAGGATAAGAATGATTTCTCGATGGTTCCGAAATATAAGGCGGTGGAGGGTTATGAGTAGGAGTAGTTGGTTTATGGTTAGTTAAAGTAGTATTATTACCAGCATTATGTATTGACGGCGCTGATAAGATTGAATTCAAGGGCGGAAGGTTCTTCTCCATAATTCTTTTTTTTAGTAATTTCAATTTTAATTTATTTTTTTGATATGATATATAAATATTAAATAAATAAATAAATAAATAAAAATACTAAAATACAAATACCAAAAATACTTACGGCGGGGATGGTAAACTACGAGAAGAATAATTATCTGACGAAGAAAATTCAAAGGATTTTCTTTCAAGGGGAGGTAAAGAACAACAAATAGAATTTACGTCCATTATTATTTTTTTTTTTAACTATAATAAATTGTTATAGATTATGTTACGTGTGTATATATATAATTTATTTATTTTTATTCTATAAAATTCAACGATCAGTTTATATGATATTATAGGTATAAAATTTATAATAAATGTATAAAATATATTTTCTCGTCTCGAGCTTCTATTAAAGGAATATAAGGAAATATTTATAAAACAGATAATTATTATGTAGAATTCTCGCTACCAAGAATGAAAAAAAAAAATCGGGAGAAAAAAAAAAGAGTTTAAACTTTTGCACGTTTGAGAGAGAATTTGAAGAGGTAGTATTTATATATAAAATGATAAACCAAAAAAAAAAAAGTCACATTATTTACTATATAAAATAAAATATAACAATAAAACAAAAAATCGGATAATATACAATTGAATGATTGATTGATTGATGAAATGCATTAGTGTAAAAAATCGGAATAAATAAAATATAAATATAAATATAAATATACTTTTTGAAGTATAATTTATTTATTAGCATATAATATATAATAATAATAAATATAATAATAAATATAATAATAAATATAATAATAAATATAATAATAATATAATGAAGATAATGAAGTTAATCTTTGAAAAAAAAAGATGAATGATAGAATTAAATATAGAATAACTTATTTTACTAATATAAATAAAAAGAAAAAACTAAATTTATTTATTTCAATTTTATTTATTTTTAACGTGTTTATTACACTGATTCTTTAATTCTTCTACATAATGAGATCAGATCTTCAATACACAATTCTTCGACGACAACATTTACGCGCGATAATAATAATAAAAATAATCTAAAAATTCAATCCACAAAAAAAAATTGATTTGTAATAATGGGAGGTATGAATAGATATGAATGATAATAATATTATTGTTGTTGTTAATATAAGTTAATATAGAAATATACTTATGTAAGGGTAAGATATATGAGGTATATATGAAAGGTATGGGAATATAAGTATATGAGGTAATAATCAATCAATAATTGTTTCAATGATCGATTATTTTAAATCATGTGCGCAGATACCAATTTTGACAACCCTTTAATTTAATTAATTCAACTGTGGATAAATGCAACGATTCTTGCCATTGTGACACAATCTCAAATTCCATAAAAAGTAGAATTTGAATGTAACGCAAATTGTTATGAGGTATTTTCGCCAACACTTTTTTCGATTTTTTGGATTCCAATGATTTTTTGATTATTTCAATTGTAATTTCTGTGAATTCGTGAAACCTTTCACGAAACTATTTAAACATATCATTTTCTTTCTTTCATTATCATTATAATAATTTTTTTTTTCGACAATATAATGATGATACTGATAGCGTGGTGATTAATTAGATCAAGTGATACAGTGCATGATTATGCAATCTAGAATTCTATCTTACACATTAATAATATTATAAATTTTTTATATAAAGTATTAATATAAAAATATTATATAAAAGTATTAAAATTATTATATAAAAGTATTATTAAGTAGTATAATTTATAAATGCATAAAGAAAAAGTATATGAAATACATAAAGTACAAAGTTAAATTTAAAATATCGTGAAACTAATAATAATAATAAACTTTAACGTTAAAATTTTATGGATCGTTTGAGGAAAATTCATAAAAAATTTTCTCGTTTTTAAACATGCAAGAAGTAAATAAAATTTTGAATTTTGGATGTATTATATACACACATACATTCATAGATAGATAGATAGATAGATATACGCCAAGAGATCTCGATTGGTCTTTCTTTTTTTTTTCTTACTAAAGAAAAAAAAAATAACATGTTCATTTCAAGAATCCTAAGAATGCGTAATTATATATATATATATAAATTGGCATGTGCCAATTCTCACATTAATCAAGAAACTTACAATTTAGTGAAGTTTTGTTTTTTGAGATATTCGTTATTTTTTTATATTAATTAAAAATTTATTAATGATGTGATATTTCGTTATTTTTATTATTATTTTTGACATATTTTTTTTTTGACTTTTTGTTTTAAATTATTATTATTATTATTATTTATGTCAATAATGGTTTGATCATGTTTCATTTATTTATTTATTTCCTTTTTTTATTTTCTCTTTAATATCATATATAATTTTTTAAAGAACAATAAATTATATAAAAAGGTTGAAGGGTTTTTTTTAACGGAATATAGTAATCAACCACATTTATTGTATTTGTTATGACTCATGTATGCATTTATTCTATATTTTTCTTTTCACCAATAAGGAAACAATATATACTTTTAATTGAATGTGTCATTTTTTTATTAACATTTCGAATGAGTACAAATTAAAGTACATGTGCAAATTATTATCAAAAACTGCCTTTTTTTTTTTACTTTTTTTTTCTACTCTGGCTGTTTCTACTGTTTCTATTTGTTTTATATTTTGATTTGTTCCTTATCTTATTATTGTCTACAAATAATTTATAATTTATTTATTTATTTTTATTATTTAATCGAATGCGCACATATGCAAATCCTTAAAATTTATGAACAATAATATTTCTATTTTTATTTAAGTTTAACAACTCTTATCTTTTACTTAACTTTTTTTGTTCTATATAAAGCTAGATTACCTGTTATTTTATTATTATTGTTGTTTTTGTTATCGTTTCACTTTTTACTTGTCGTTCTATTATCATCATGAAACAAAATGTGGAGAAGAAAATACACGTGATCTGCCATAAACATCAAACAAAGTAATTATAGAGTTCCTAAAACAGTTAATGCATCTCTATATAAATTTCCTAATATAGAGATTACAAAAACCTCAGAGCAAAAAAAATAAATTCTTTAAAAATTTTAAATCTTTTTTTTTTTTATTTTGATCTTACGATGATAAAAAAAATGAAATATAAATTCATGTGTTAAATCTTGTTTTTTAAAAAAAAATTAACGGAATGATTTCAGGTATTAAAATTTCATACTAGAATTGAACATAATAATAATAATCATCATAATCAAAATGATGATAAAATATTTTTACGACTTTCATTTTTTAAAAGAAAAGAAATAAAATGACAACATAATTGCATATTATGACATTTCTTGATAAAAGTTCACAATACAACTATTATGCAAGCAGAAATAACACGTGTCAAATTTTAAATTTTAATATGATATAATATTACAGGTTTAGGTATTTAACAATTTTAAATATCACAGTTTCACCTAATTTTACATAATATCACATTATATTTAAAATATTATTTATCTAAAAATTAAGATTATTAATTATATTTGTAAATTTTAAATTAGAAAGAATACTACAAAATAATAATTAGGTAATAAGATTTTATATAGATAAAGATGGTTTAAAATAAATATTAGGTTCAGAATTCAAAATAATATTGAGAAATTATCCTATAACAATAACTATCTATCTATCTATCTAATATGATTATTCTAATTTAAAGAAAAAAACTTTTACATTTATAAAATGTATCAGATTTCAATAAATATTATAATTAAAATAATAATAATGTTGTTGCTGCCTTTTTTTTTTTTTTTACCAAATACAATATTGATAATGATAATAATAATTATTATTATTCAACAAGCATATCTTTTTTTTAATGTATTATAAACCTTGGGTATTTTGAAATTTAATTAATTTCAATATAATAAACCAAATAATTTTTTGGAACTTTATATAAAAACAATGTAAATATCATCATTCTTGAAATAAAACAGATCGTTATTATTAAAAAGGAAGGACTTCGCAATGTAAAGAATGTAAAGAATGTAAAGATCACGTCACGTTTGAAAAAGTAAAATGTAAATACTTTTTTTTTTTGACATATGAAATAATTTTCAGTATACAATAAATTCTTTATTATTAATTAATCAATCTTTTCAAATTTAGAATCTCATCTTTTATAAAACATTCAAAATTTCGATCCAAATTCAATCTTAAATGTTCTATGTAAATTTTTTGCTTTTGTAGAAATCATGAAAACATTCTGTTACAAACTTTGTCAATGATCACAAGTTATTCAAGAAAAGGAATGAATATATATTAATTTTTCACCACTATTCAAAAGAATTTTTATTATAACAGATCAATAGATATTTTACAGAAAAAAATGAAAAATTCAACATATACAATATATCTCATTTATTGTCTGAATAATATCATATTTCGTATTTTGAATTCAATATTTATTTTTGTCATAATATATATACATTTTATTTTAATATAAATGTTATTATTCTTTATTATTATACATTTATACACTTTTTCTGCTTAGGCTTCAATATTTCATTTTCATCATTATTATCATTAATTACATCATATGTAGAAAAAGTCGTCTTCAAAATAAAAAGGGTTTTAAAATTAAAAAGTTTCTTCTTCTTAACCAATAATCAAATAATAATTCAGGATATTTATTATTATTGATCTAAATATGGAGAAGTTGGAAGAGAGAAAAAATTAAACTCCAAACGCGTCTTCGCAACTGTGGCTTGCTTCTCATTCATTGTACCATTTCTCTCTGTGCAACTAACCAGTTATTATAATAAAAAAAAATTTAATTTTAAGGATATATCACGTTTACTATAAACGAATGTCATTTTTATCCGTAGTTTTTTTTTAGCTGCCATAAAAATAAAGTTAGATAATATAACACACTTATGACAAAATCAATTGTTATTTTAATTATATTTCCTCTTCAATAAATGGGAAATAAAAAATTTCATTGAGACATATCAAATATAAAAGAATTTTTAATACATTTGTCAAATAATAGTTACAAGTCTTCTCAAAAATATATGCTTATACTTTGGTATCCACGTGTTAGGTGAATTGTGTATATATATATCCATGCAAGTCAACCTTAATTCAAAATAAGCATAATAATATTAAAACTATGTAGCAGTTAAGTTAATTTCTTAGAAATTATGGATTACTAGCATTTAATCAAATATCAACCAGGTGATTTATTAATGCAAAT